CAGAAAAAAAATCTAAATTTGAAAACGAATTTCCTGCCTAAAATATTAAAAAATTCACGAACACATAGGATGGACTTTTTTTTTACAATGTCTAATAGTGGATTGTATTACATTGCTCTGTTTTTTATGTTTTTTTCTTTTCTTGTTTCATTGTATGCAATGGCAGAGATTAGGGATTTATAAAGTACAACCATAATCACAATCATATAAACAGAAATCTATTTTATAGCAATAAATAGTGTGAGATGTGTGTGTCCCCAAATATATTATAATTACGGCCTTGCCATACACAGTCGTTCCACTGCTGGATGAAGGCCTCCCTTAAGCATATTTCTGAGTTCGAACCGGTTAATGCTAACCCACGCATATGACTATCGTTATAATCTTCATTAGCCATCATCAAATCTTGCTACTGGATGAAACCCTTAAGGCTATGTGGGGGGGTCGAACCGGTCCATGCTAACCCTTCACAATAGAACTGCTGTATCTTCTTGGTTCTTTCGGTAAAGTCACGTAGAATGGAATACAATAATAAAAATAAAACATAATAAAACAATTCTCACGACGTTTCGGCCACAACGCAAGCAGCCGTTGTGGCCGAAACGTCGTGAGAATTGTTTTATTATGTTTTATTTTCATTACTTTATTACTTCCCTTCTACGTGACTTTACCGAAAGAACCAAGAAGATGAATGCCTGCAGTCACGAAAGCTTTAAATCGAAATTTAACTGCTGTATCGTTCTTTGTCAGCTATGATCAATCCACTGCTGGATGAAGGCCTCCCTTAAGCCTATTTCTGAGTTCGAACCGGTTAATGCTAACCCACGCATAGGACTATCGTTATAATCTTCATTAGCCATCATCAATCTTGCTACTGGATGAAACCCTTAAGGCTATGTGGGGGGTCGAACCGGTCCATGCTAACCCTGCACAAAGAACTGCTGTATCGTTCTTTGTCAGCTATGATGAATCTGCTGCTGGATGAAGGCCTTCTTCAAATCAGTGTCCGGGTTCAAACCAGTTCAGGCTAAACCACAAAGAACTGCGATATTGTTATCTTTGTCAGCCATGATAAATCCACTGTTGGATGAAGCCCTCCCTTTAATCTATGTCTAAGTTCGGACTGGTTCATGCTTACCCTGCACAAAGAACTGCTGTATCGTTCAAGTAAAAACGCCAATGCGCTGACCTTGCATTTACATGATAACAATTACTGAGATTCATCAACAGCCATGATCAATCCACTGCTGGATGAAGGTTCATCTTCAAGCCGATACGATCCATCCCTCACAGCGAATACAAATGCGTAACTTTATAATCAATCGTTAAATTCTGTAACGCGATGAACGCTTGTGCCAAACTGACCGGATTTATTGAAGGGGTTTTTGTTTTTTTATTTCCCCCAAAGCTTTGGAAAACACAAGCCGGCCAGGGTACAAAGACAAAGATCCCCCGTGTAGCCTTGACAGACTGTTGGGGCAAGTGCTGCTAGCGAGTAGCACCTATGAAGGCCAGCACGGCACACGAAGGGGGGGGTGGGTGGCCAGCACCACGCCCGGCCGCCTTTGTCTCCCCCGGTGGCGATGTTTACTACACACCGCACCCAGGTACTCATTTGAGGCCGAGTCGACCTAGAGGTTGACACGAACCCTGGTCAATTGCATAAGAAGCGAGTGGATGGAAGAACAAAAGCACGGATACCACCCTAAACACAATGCCTAAAGGACCCTTTGGTGACCCTAATGCAAAACCAGAGTTGGGGTTGTTGCCAGTGACCTTTGACCCACGGACTAATAAGTACGGCATCAATTCATATTTGAAGACACCAATTAAATATAACGAGGAACAAACTGTGGACTCCTACTCTTCACTTAGCAGCATCCCCCACGCAATCCCGACGCGGGGAGAGTGTTGCGCAGATGTCAATTAAGTTTCACATGTCCCCGGAATTGGCGGTGATGCAAAAGGGGATGGCACACATTTGTGACACTCAAGGTTAAGGGCAAAGTCCACTTTGGCAAAGTTTTAACTCTTTAACACTTTTAACTCGTTGGGTAGTTTGTCATTTTTGCCCATTAGTTCACTAATGGGCAGTAATCTAATCACAATTGTGTTTTTTTTCAAACTTTCTTACCCGTGTTGGCCTCGAAAAGTAATTCCACGAAATCATCCCTTTACAGAAAATGTTTCGTCTCCGTATACGAGCTCAATCTGCATGTGATTATTAACTTTCGACCCTTTGTACAGCCCACTCCTGGATGAAGGCCCCCGACCCCCCCTCCGTTCCGTTGTTCCACGGGAGTTGTTTGACGATACTCTGGGACTGCTCAGTCCGGCTCTGCGAAGCCGAGTCGCCCAACGCCGGCTCAGGCTTCGCTCGCTGCCCACGTTAAGATGCGTGTTGAAGAACGGTCAACCGAGCCCGCCACTCCGTGCCGACCGTCAAGAATGATCCGAGAATTTTCATGCGAACCGATGCAAGAGAGAGACGTGGTCAAGCGGTGATGCGCGTGAGCCACTCGTTTGCTGAAGTTCACGGTTAGAGACCCGGTGGTTGCCTCCCCCACGCGCCCCCCGGGGTTAACACTGCGACAGGGCACCCTGTTTTCTGGAAAAAGAAAGCAGCGTGTGTGCGCGCTACGGAACCGAGATCCACATTTGATCAATTTACACTCGCGCATCGCTTAATTTGGAGAAAGAAAACTAAATACGACTGTCTTCTTGGTTCTTTCGGTAAAGTCACGTAGAAGGGAAGTAATAAATAATAAAATAAAACATAATTAAATAATTCTCACGACGTTTCGGCTACAACGCAAGCAGCCGTCTTCAGGTGAAGAATGAAACACTGCCAAGCTTGGAGCGTATATATAAGCTGGGTTGGAGGTGGAAGAAGAGTGCCTTATATATAAGCTCCAAGCTTGGCAGTGTTTCATTCTTCACCTGAAGACGGCTGCTTGCGTTGTAGCCGAAACGTCGTAAGAATTATTTTATTATGTTTTATTTTTATTATTTTATTACTTCCCTTCTACGTGACTTTACCGAAAGAACCAAGAAGATGAATCCCTGCAGTCACGAAAGCTTTAAATCGAAATTTAAATACGACTGCCGGACTAATGCCCGATTGTGGTGGTCACACCACGTGCTGTGCAGGAACTGCCGCCACTGGTTGGGCCCTCTCATCGCCACACATTGACGCGTGGCATGGGAACGGTTGAGAATAGATGTGATGCAATGCACTTTGAATTGCCAACGCATTTACGATATACATTTTATTTTATTTTACTAGGTAAGGCCCACTGAGCTAGATTGATCTTTTTCAGAAGCGACCTGGCCACAAGTGATACGCTCAACGAAGTGGCTTATCATGTGTAAATTTATAGCAGCCAAATATTGTAAAACGCAAGTTTGAGTCCAAATGTGGAGAGAAAACCTGGAGAACCCGGAAAAAAATCGACGCAACCACGGGGAGAACATGCAAACTCCAAATATACATTTGGATTTAAAGCTGTCGTGACATGCAGGGATTCATCTTCTTGGTTCTTTCGGTAAAGTCACGTAGAAGGGAAGTAATAAAATAATAAAAATAAAACATGATAAAATAATTCTCACGACGTTTCTTCACCTGAGGACGGCTGCTTGCGTTGTAGCCGAAACGTCGTGAGAATTATTTTTTTTTTTTTATTATTTTATTACTTCCAAATATACAGTCGTGAGGGTTGGGATCGAACCCACAAGGAGGTGACAGAGTTAACATCTCGCCACCACGGCGTCCTTATAAACGCACCCTGTGAACAAAAGCCCTTAAAAAATAAAATAGCTGCAATATGAACACATCTCACACACACACGCACGCATTTCACGGTACCGGCTTCCGTTTTATTACGATGAAAAATAAAAAGTGCTATGTTATTTCCATTAAAAGCAATGACATAGGTGAGATATGGCCAAACACGAGTGCTTTTCCATAACCTCCAACTCAAATACCGCGCGTTCGGTCGGCATGTAATAATTTTTCACCGCGATCCGGCTTCACGGCAATGTCTAACGAAAAACTGAAATCTGTGAAACTAAATTAATGTGGACGTTATTCAATAAAAGCCAACCATAACTTAAGACATCTTGTGTAATGAGCTTTCTGCATAGAACTCACGATGCTGCATAGAACCGATTATGATGATGATTTGAGAATTAGCAATTAAATGTGTGGACCGGAATGCAGGCAAAATTGTTTTTCTCTTTCAGAATATATTTAAAAATAAAGCTAACGTTTGGCTGACGTGACCTCTGCATACTTGTTGACCATTGTTTGAAAACATGTATACATTGTTGCAATCAGCGTAGCGGAGATGTCGACACTTTTTAAATTTCCAACCCTCGCTTACCCATATTTTTAAAAAATGAAATTGCAAAAAAAACACCACGACTACAAAATAAACCCCATGAGAAATCAATTCCTTGGTTTCAAACACAACAGTTGAAGATTATTTTAACAACTCAAATGACGAGACATGGCAACTTTGGAATTGCTTTAAAGTATTCTTTGGTTCTTTCGGTAAAGTCACGTATAAAGAAAAAATAATAAATAAATAAATGACATATTATTTAATTTATTATTTTTTCTTTATACGTAAATAATAGCATTTTATTTAATTTATTATTTTTTCTTTATATGTGACTTTACCGAAAGAACCAAAGATTAATTCCTGCAGTCACGAAAGCTCCAAAGTTAAGATTGCTTTAAAGTAGTTGTTTCTATTTATGATAGGTGTAACTATTCAACCCCTTGGTGAAATTATGAAAAGTCACCATCAGGATCACAATTCAAGATCGATGATTTTTCGATTTAAAGCTTTCGTGACTGTAGGGATTCATATTCTTGGTTCTTTCGGTAAAGTAATATTATAATATTACGTAGAAGGGAAATAATATTATATTATAATACGTAGCAGGGAAAATAATATATTATATTATAATATTATAATATAATATATTATTTCCCTGCTACGTATAATATTATTTCCCTGCTAATAATATTATATTATAATATTATTTCCCTGCTAATAATATTATATTATTATATTATAATATTATTTCCCTGCTACATGACTTTACCGAAAGAACCGAGAATATCGCTTATTTTCTTTTACAATGCGGGGAATGTTAGTGGACGCCACTTGGCTGCCAGATATTTCGTGAACCCATTACATGAAATTACGAATTGTTACACCTTCAGCATTAATATAGGACGAACATCTTGAGTATTTTAGATTTTTTAAAGATATCGTGAGTCTAGATGTACTGGCCTGATCTCTTCCAACTATGTGGGCCCCGTGTGGAAGTGGTGGCTGATTCATTAAAGACAGAACTTTGATTGCAGTGGCTTAAGTTTAACAGCAACCCCCCCATACCCCTTATCCTCTTATAATGTTCAACACAGGTACAGGCATCCCGCGAATTACGAAATTTCGCGTTCGCGCAACTGACGAAACTACGGACACTTTTCGATGAGCGGAATCGAATTTTCCGTGTCGAAGAAATTTCACCGCGGCACGCGCTGCGAGATCACCAAACACGAACCATCCGGGAGGCTGCGTCGTCCGTCCGCGACAGCGTCACGATCTCCCTGCAGTGCAAGAGGAACGCCTCCATATCACCTTGCCAGTCATTTCAACGTGCAGATCTTTCAGCGAGTTCCGTGAAAAAGGTGAATTATTTTGCTTTCAGATGCATTGTTATTCGATCGCTTTAATATGTCCTTAATTATTGTCATTTAAATCCTTTATATTAAATTCGCTTGCTTGCTTGCGCGCTTACGACCGTGCAAATCTTTCGGTCGTTTTTTAACCCACTTCCCGTGATCCAATCGAGCTGACATTTTCCACACAGACTCGTTGTGCGTGACAATTAATTTTCGTGAAAAAAAATTGCAACATTTTACACTTTTTAGGAAAAAAAAAAAATTATATTTAATTACCAATTGCTTAATGCTGCCAGGCAATCATCTGACCCATAGGTGGCAGCCATCTCAAGCCAGAGGACGAGAGGACTCTAGCCGCCACGCATATAAAGGATTTATAGTGAAAAACTTTGTTTTTACGGGTTAATTTTTTTGTGTTGTGATATAGGTAGATGTTTTTTAGGCTTGGAGTAGAGCTGGAATGACTGTCCGAAACACATCCCTTTTTAAAATAAAAAAAATGGGAAAGCCATTTCTGATTGACGCAATTTCGTTTTGCGTTTGTTTTTTGAAGAACGCATCCCTTTCGTAAATAGGGATACCTGGAAAGAGAACAGCAATGTCTAAAAACCCCTAATTTGCTGGGTCCCTCCTGCAATCCACATCTGTCCGTACCAGAATAGTCGTTACCTATTGTAATATTTCAGAGGGCCGATTACGACACTATCTGCTACGTCGCAACTCTTACCTCCACATATATACTCCGTGACCAATTACCTGCCCAACACCACCGTGCAAGTATCTATGCACGGTGCAACTGTCGTTATCCGTAGACAAACACAAATCCGACCTTTTCACGTATCCATTTGTACCTCTATGTACAATGAGTCAAATTTGCGACGACACGCGATGCACCGCATTTCAATGCTTGGGGTATTTCAAATATTGAATCGCAACGTGCCGACGGTCATCGTGTTGGACTTATCTATCGCCCAAAAAGTTGTACGGTACGGGCGATAGCAGCCGAGTATTTCAGATAGCAGACACTTCTGTTGCAGCGCGTACACGTCATGGGTAAACACTGCGCGAGCAAAAGAGATTAGATAATATTGAGGGGGGGGGGGCAACGGTGGGTTCTCCGTTTAAACATTACCTTTGGCTCCCCACCAAAATGAAATTCAGAGAAAGGCTGCCCAGAGACAAAAGGTTATTTAGCCACTGCAAAAATAAACAATCAAAACGCAGCCAAATATGAACATACGAGCGCATTCAGCGTCGCGTCCCGTAATTGTTAAGAACGAACCACGCAGCGCTCAAGAACCTCTTCCGAATCCGCATTTCTAAAAAATGCTTCCGACACCGATGGTGGAATAATCATCAACGGTTGTTACGTTTAGATGAAAACCCGAGGATTGCGAATGATCGAACAGTCACCCAAAGCGTCATCTCCGAGGAGTGCATTACACATCTAGTAAACGCGCCACACTGTGTACAAAAAACATGTACACCAAGCAGAAGCAGCGACGGCAAGAAAGCAAAGGTAGTCTTTGTTATACCTGTTGCAATGAGTCCCTCGTGATAGTTTTTGTTACGAGATGCTATAATAAAAGATAAAGGTGCACCCTGCAATGACTTGCTCGTGCCACTGCTGGCAGAAGGGACTCCACAATGAGACCCCCCTCTCTGGAGGGTATCTTAGTCTACTCTTCCACACCGGCTAAACTTCTTGGAATGGGCCAGAGCACCGGCACCTTTACCCTCCGCCGCGCGAGACTTGCCCGATCGACCTACGTTGGACCCATTTGTGCTGCGGTCGAGACGAGGGGTGGCGCACCGACCGTGAATTCTGCCCACCCTGAACGCCCGTCTACGTACGAAGCGATGGAATGTTCCGGCCCGTGCTATTATACACCTACTGTTGTCATTGATGATTAATTGTAAACGTATCGCGATGACCTGCGGGAAAATTAGCTCGGATTGTGCTCGTGTCCAATGCAGCAAGAACAACAAAAAATGGGAGCCAGGTGTGACATTCCCTCTGGGAACACGTGGTTACGTGAAAATACCATAAACAAAACTGATGCTACATACTCTTCGTTTTTTCGGTAAAGTCACGTAGGTAAAAAAAAAATGTAATAAAATTAATAATAAAAATGACGACGTTTCGGAGGCAACACAAGTCTCCGTCATCAGGTGGGACCGTCACAGCCAGATTTGCTTGATACAGCCTTGTGTTGCCTCCGAAACGTCGTGATTTTAATTATTACATTTTTATTAATTTTAATTTCAATTGTTTTACCTACGTGACTTTACCGAAAAAACTAAGAGTATGAATCCTTGCAGTCACGAAAGCTTCAAATCTAAAACTGTTGCTGCCAAGCGAAGAACATTTTCTCAGCCTTCAAGTTTTTTTTTGTAGTTTTTTTTTTTTGCCAGGTAAGGCCCACTCAGCTATATAGCTCTTTTTTTTTAGAAGCGACCTGGCCACATATGACAGCTTATCACGTGGGATTTTACAGCAGCCAAATACCCCCAGATGCATGTTCCTAAATTTGGAGGGAAAAACCGAAGAACCCGGAGAAAAATCAACGCGACCACAGGGAGACACGCAAACTCCAAATATACAGCAGGCGTCGGGGTAGGGATCGAACCCACGACCTCCTGTATACCAGGCGAGGTAGTTAACATCTCCTAGCCACCGTGGCATCAGGGTCCAGGGATCGAACCCACAACGTCCTGTATACCAGGCGAGGTAGTTAACATCTCCTAGCCACCGTGGCGCCCTATGCCGAGTGATATCAGTCCTGAGGCACCCACCCACAACTTCATGAACCCGCGCTGACCCGCGTGGAGACGCAAGGTCAAACAGCAATGACCGACATGGCATGGGGGATGCCTTCATTCAGCAGTGGCTTGACATGGATATATTATTAGTATTACTATTTATATAGGACAATTTTAGCAATTGACAAATCGGCATCTTTTGGACGTGCCTACTAAAATGTCCGGAATGCCCCTTTGTGTGTACCGATGGATTTAACTTTTACATCTTTGACTTGCCAAATGTTTCCATTCATCAAGTGAAATTTGCCAGCCACTCCTAAAACTATGCATACATCTACTATATAAACACATGTCGATGAGCCGTGTATTTTCATGCCACGCGTATGAAAATACACAAAACGGAGTCTCCAATAAGCTAAACATTGGGTCCGTACGTTATTCGCATTCTCTAAAACTGTGACCTTCATGTTCTATATAGTATATATATGCGAGCCTCTTCATATACACTGCACATATATTACACAATGCAAATACTGCATATATATACAAACTGAACATATATACACACATACGTGCAATTCTATATAGAGCCCTGTATGTAATGCCATACAAGCCTTTATATTAAGAGTGACCCATCATCCAAAGGGTTTGCTTCAGTCCTGGGTTCAATTACAATTGTAATTGTCATTCACCACAATGTCGCCGTGAATTCGCCGAACAGTGTTAGAGTTTTTTTTTCGTAATTTACGATTTTACCCCAGGTCTGTCTGGTCGGCTTGCTCGTGAGCAACACAAAAAAAAAATTCCTTCACGATAATTTTGTTTTCATCGCGAATAATTGTGGCACGAGCGAGGGGGGGGGGGGGTTGGCTCCTTTGCATCGATTCGTAAAAGTAGGGAGGGAGCATTGGAGTTCAAAACGATTATTTCTTGTAAATAAAAATATAACCCAATGCTTCACGTCAATGCTGATGAATTGCACAGCAAACTTCTGAGGGTGGTCGGAACTGCGGCTTAAGATGCGTCCGTTGGAGGGGGGGGGGACATCGGTTTCACGAGCAAAACCCAGGGTTTGCGACGCTTCATAAAGGGGGGGGGGGGGGCGGGGGGAAAAACAGGGTCGTTAAAAAATAGTGGCATTGATTAGGAGAGGTGGGTTTTTTGGCATTATCGGCACTTGGTTTTCGCAACTCTCTCGATGCCTTTTCTCGAGTTTCTTTGACGAATCCACATCGTTCTCTCCGTGTAGTCTTCTGTGTTGCAAATTCTGCAACAAATGCCCCGCTCACGTATCTGCCGCCACTTCAGTGACAAATATTTGTTTTTATTGTGAAGAGCGCCTGGCAACCTCCTGTTTGTAACTTCTGAATGAGCCACACGGCAAAGCGCCAATTGACGAGGAGTTGTCAATGCTCGTCGTACGCACGGAAGGCAGGCGAATGCGGAGAAATTAAATTATCTAATTTCTAGGCACGTAACGATTCACTCAACCGGTCAAAATCAGTCCTTGCGCTCGTCATTCGCGCGCCGAATCGTGAGTGCAACAATTGATAATTTTTTGATGTGTCCAAATGAGCTACATTTTCATGGTAGTTTATGAGAATGCAACCGAGGCGGAACAAATGAGACAAAAATTAATCGATTATTGAATCGAACCGCGGGCCCCCCCCCCCCGACACACGCCCTGAAAAAGCGTTGAATCGTGCAAGAAGCTGGCGTGCGAACCGCTACGCGCCCGTTGTTAAGAGACCGCTGCTCAGCATTTCGAAAGCCGTGTCATGATTACGGAGACACGACAAAAGGCATAATTGACACGTACACAGTTGCTCAGAAACTGATGCTGGCTGATGCAAGCCACCCCGGGAGGGGAGGGGGCATGCTTGTGAAACCGATCGGGACAACCAGAGGGCATTTTCCCGCAAGGACGCAGAGGCTCTGGTGACAACGAAGAGGGCAGCATTGCGTGGGACCGCCCTGGATCACCCTCGCCGGTAGGAACGCGCCGACGGTGAGGTCTAGGAAAGGAGGGTGGATGAGGAATTTCGCACGATGGGATTTCACCTGCGGAACACCTCCGTATTGCGAAAACTTGAGTTGTCCCTGCAACACATGAATGCAGTCGGTCACCATCGGTCAGCAGGAATGTTACGGCTTAGAAATGTTCCGTCGACGACACTTGCGGTACTGAACGCTGGCGTGCACAGGGGTGGAATGATTCGGCGGGCATCTGCAGTTTAACACGTAGGCTTTCGCGACCAATGTTATTCATAATCAACGTTTTTGGGTTTAGATCGCGTTTATTTATAAATGTGTCGTAACCCTCCACCACCCGACACGGCCAATCAGTAAAAATGTGTCACGTTGACAAAGACAAATAGTTCACTGCTTTAGCCCACCGGTGTGTTGAAGCCACAACATTTACAATTTGAGTACGACGTTTCGCTGGTAATTGCAACCAGCATCATCGGGCAATTCGCAATTTGTCACGATTCGATTCAAGAATTTATTCTTTAAACATTATGGTGGATGGTAGCGCCCATCGTGGTTGCAAGAGGTGATTGAGAAGCCATTAAATACAAAATATATCAATCGAAAAATTGATTCTTAACGCATGCCAATCGATCCAAGCACCGAAAGCAATATAATTAGATTATATTGATGTACCATACCACCCCCTTCGGTCGTAATTGAATATTATCGGCATACATTGCATGGTTTTAGTGTCTTCATTACGGTAAGGCATTAGCACAGCCAATCCATGCCAGTGTGATCAGAATTGTGTAAAAACCAACACGAAATGCCAAAAAAATTAAAGGTAAATCTCCATTAAACAACCAGGGGGGGGGGGTTACAAAAACATTATATTTAAATTGGCTAGGGTCAAGCCATGCAAGAGAAATGTACGGCTGATGTTAAACACGCACAGTATTATTTGCGGTTAAAGCTATCCCGTTTTATTCGAGCACTCTGTTGAATACGGGCAATTTCAACAAAATCACACAGAAACAGCACAGGCGACAAACGGCAGCCGCCTATCTCGATCGTCCGGTGCCTATTTACAGGAAATTTCGCACGGCAAAAAGAAAAAACACCCGTCTAAAGTGGCGGAGACAGCAAGGTTATAAATTGGTAATGTGGCACCGCGCGGGAAATGTTTAACCATTCCAGAGAAAACCTTCCACGTTGTTTTACAGACGTCACAGCGAAACTCCTTCACTGAACGAATGAAGCAGCCAGAGCTAAAATTGTTTCATCATGCAGGTCAGAACTCTAAAATTAGTTTGGAAAAAGCACGTGTGCACATAGATTATTTGACACTTTCCACCACGTGTCCCGTCGTCACGAGTTTGTAACTAGCAGGATGTAAGTAGACGGTGGCTGTTATGGAAAACACACACATTTATCTACAGTAAAACCTTGGATTGCCAGTAACTTGGTCTGCGAGTGTTTTGCAAGACGAGAAAATTTTTAAAATAAATATTAATTTGATAAACGAGCGAGGTCTTGCAATACGAGCAGTACGTGTATACGCTTTGTCTGCCGAGCGTCACGTGATCACAACTGATACTATACGAGTGCTTTGGATTACAAACACGTGTCCGGAACGAATTATGCTCGCAATCCAAGGTTTTACTGTACAGTACTCTCGATTATCAAAATCGCGGGTAATACAAAAATATGCATTTTCCACAGATCCCTTTGCCAAAAACCACATTTGCCCGCGCTGAAGACTCGGGCCCACTAAATGGACAGCAGAGCCACACCAATCAACATCAATCAAACTCTGCCACCCACTGTTGTAAAGATATGGCAACTACTGTACTGTTCAGTTTAAGCACGTCACTTGTAATAAACATGTCCATGAATCACTGAGACCTCCTTTTGGCGTCATCTGGTCCAACATCAATGGAGACTAGGCTCTAAGAAAAGCTGTCTCGGGTGTGGACCAATCAACTTCAAGGACAGTGCATATCATTATCATTATCAGAGTTGTTTCTTTTTGTTTGCATTTTGACTGCTTGTGTTGTGGTTATTGCAAACATGATGCCTTGTATAAAGGTGTCAGTTTTTGTACCAGTTGAAAGGGTAAAAACCTATTACTATGTCCATGAATAACAATGTATAACTATTTTCAGATTATTCATTTGGGCTTAAGGGGAAATCCACGAGTTATTATTAATTTACGTCAAAATCTAAGGTGCGCGGTTAATCAGCCGATCGGATAAACCGCACGTGGACAATCGAGTCGACTATATTTAAATAGTCCTTTTTGATCTGGTCTGTGTGTCCCAAATTTTTTGGGCCAACAATTTTTTTCAACTTTGCCTGTTTTTAATAGAAGGGTAAATTCCCTGCTGCTAGTAATGCAAATGTATCCTACTCTTTCTTTCTCACTGGATCATCTTCAAGCAAGTTATTGCCTCCCGCTAAGAATGGACAGGCAGACGGGCAGAGCTAATGTGTAAACGCGACAAAGCATGGTTATAAAGCGTTGACATGAACGACGCAATGCGATAACACAAATCAAAGCGGACGCCACCGTAATACATGACGGGGCGTGCGATGCACACTCAATAAAATGAAGTCATGGGAACAAGCAACGCAAAATCGAGCTCGCACACACACGTCACAGTTGCATTATGGGACATGACATGCCTTAACACGAGATGCAGTGTAAATGTGAAATACAGAAATAAGGATGCAGTTCTCAATTTGGAAATAATTGTAAAAAAAAATAGCAACTCATTGCAATCGTCTTCTTGGTTCTTTCGGTAAAGTCACGTAGAAGGGAAATAATAAAATAATACAAATAAAACATAATAAAATAATTCTCATGACGTTTCGGCTACAACGCAAGCAGCCGTCCTCAGGTGGCTGCTTGCGTTGTGGCCGAAACGTCGTGAGAATTATTTTATGTTTTCTTTTTATTATTTTATTATTTCCCTTCTACGTGACTTTACCGAAAGAACCAAGATGAATCCCTGCAGTCACGAAAGCTTTAAATCGAAATTCATTGCAATCGGTCAAAATCTGAGACCCATGTCTGCTGCACCTCCAAGTTTGTTTCATGAATGAAACCTGCAAAACCACACAATTGAGAGGATGAATTTAAATGAATGCATTCTCCCAAAGAAATTACCCAACTCACAACCATAATTAAAGCCGAGTGTTATTATTTTTTATTTCAAATAATTTTCAGTTGCGGTGAAAGATATGATATGTGACAAATTCCATCCAATCACAGACCTCTCTTAAAACAGGAAGCTATTGTGAAAACACACACGTAAATCACAGTACCCCAACACCAGGAGGCCACACCACTCGGCAACGAGTCGAAATGAGCACCGGCTCGTGAAATGCATTCCTGCAGAGGGAGCTGGTAGGAACGTTGGGTTGCTCGATCAATGGCCAGGGTCAACAGCGGCGTGGTGTATTCCGCAAATATGCCCGACTGTGAGGGCGGGCACAAGCCGGCGTGAGTAGGTTAAACGTTAAGTTTTATAAGGGCACCACGGGGTGACCAGCCCCTCCCCACCCAGCCCCACCCCTCCCTCCCACCCAGCCCCACCCTCCCCAGCCCCACCCCTCCCTCCCACCCAGCCCCACCCTCCCCAGCCCCTCCCCACCCAGCCCCTCCCCACCCAGCCCCTCCCCTCTCCACCCAGCCCCACCCCTCCCATTTTTGGATGCACGACGGGCGGACAAAATAATCCCCTGTGGGCTGGTGTAACCAGGAGGTTCCAACCAGTATCAAACAGCATGTACCGTCATTCATTAGTGCCGCTGCGTTGAGCGCTTGGCATACGAACGTTGCTTTACAATTTAGTTTCGCGCAGTGAAGAAAACACAAAAGCTATCGATGCCAAATATTTGGAGGTGCGAAAAGATAAGTGGTAGCTTTTTATTCGAGATCAAGATCATTGTGGTTGGCCTCATACTTGCCGTGCCCATTAAGGTACAGAAAATATGCACGGCATACTTCCACAAATAAATGAAATTGTGTTTAGTTTTTCATTGCAAGAAGGACTAAATAAAGCGGACCAGAAGTGAGGCTCCAAAACTAGAGTTTGTTGATCTCTGCCCTGAACATTGTCTGTGCAATCTACTGGCTGGAGACCCCCGATCCAATCTTTTGCAAGGAGCACAAATTTCATCTCTCATTGAGAATCCCTCCAAGTTTGAGCAAAAGAAAAAAGCCACAAGATATGAAAAAATCATGCACGTGCATGGATTAAGCGACGCTTTCTAACACGCGTTTTCTCTTCGGAAATATGTATCAGTACAGAAGCTGGTGGTAGCCGTCAGATCGAAATGAGTTCGCTGCATGTTTGCAATTCGTCATTTTTTCCCGTGGTTTGTGTCTCCACGTTTTGGCCAATGCTTTTAACAAATTTCACCAGTTAAATTTCGATTTAAAGCTTTCGTGACTGCAGGGATTCATCTTCTTGGTTCTTTCGGTAAAGTCACGTAGAAGGGAAATAATAAAATAATAATTATTTCCCTTCTACGTGACTTTACCGAAAGAACCAAGAAGATAAATTTCACCAGTGTTCAACAGGGCCTGAGTAGCAGCACAACACAACTTTACGCTGCAGGTAGGTGGATTCTATTTCCGACTTGCAGAGCCTCCCCCCCTGTCAAACGGATGGACGCAATGACAAAGGAAATGCAGGTGATGCTTTGAGAATCTTAGTTGGAAAAGCGTTAAAAAAAACATTCCAAACCAAAGGCAGCGAGGCGATTAACAATAAAATTCTGCACACCTTCCCACGATGCAGAAACGCAGAAACTCCGCTCGGTTGCCGCGATCACGAATTTCGTTGCTTTTAGTTGCTTGGCAATTAAGCCACGATAGGCCAGGCCATGCATCATCTCTACACAACAAAAAGGCTCAGTCCCTTTTACACGCACCTTTACATCATCCGCACCTAGTTTACACAACAAAGGCTCATTCCTAACAGCGTGCTTCAGCCGCACCGAACCTCACAACAATAATATTCAGGGCCTACCTTGACTCCTCCCACCCTCAACTAGTATATATACAAGGACTGTTTTCTTGGAATTTCTCTCACTTGATACAGCAATCGTGCTGTGACGGTTCCACCTGAAGACGGAAGCTTGTGTTGCCTCCGAAACGTCGTGATTTTTATTTTATTTTTTATTTTACTTTTATTAATTTTAATTTTTTACCTACGTGACTTTACCGAAAAAACCTAAGAATATGAATAGGAGAACTTCCCGTTCGCTCGCAGCTGGAGGCCCCACGCGTGAGGCTTAAGGCCCAATCCACTGCAGCAGCCTCATCTGTTGTTGACTAGCTCATGGAAGTCTTCCCAGGCTCTGCGAGAGAGTGCACAGTTACACGGGGGTTTCAGCACCGCTGGCAACAGCAGCAAACAGCTGCAGAAATAATGTTTACGGCTTAGATGATGATAAAAATCCATTAAAAAAATTCAGCTCGAGGTCTTGTGTACACAAACCAAGGCTGCGCGCATTCCGGAATGTCCGACACAAATTTTAAGTTTTGTAAAGGAGGATTTAAAAAAAAATCAAAATCATGGTCGCTGTTACAGCACTGATGATATTACTGTGACATTTCTCACACACACAAACTCAACGCATCGTTCTTTTAAACTGTGTTGGTTAACCTAATGGCCATCATTATGAAAGTACAACATTTTGACCAAAGTCCCACGAGGTTAAAATTAATTATTGCAATGCCAACGCAGTGACATCACTAATGCATGTGATTTTAAAGCTTTTTGTCATTAAAACTTCAAGCTCGTTTCAGGCTGTCCGAGACACACAGCCCAGGTGGTGTGTAACCACAACAGCCATTTGTTTTTTGGGTTGCGTTTCCCTTTAAAGGTTCTACTAAAACTCAAAAATTCCCTTTAACCGGAATACAAAGATTCTATACAATATCATCATAAGCAATCTTCCACTGTGAAGCTTGCATTTGAGTACCATAATTCATTCCCCCGCATTGCAGCGCAGGGATGCCTATTTGAGGCCACCATTCAACACGGTAACAGATGCAGTCGCCGAAGATCAACCCAACGTGTGAAAAGGTGGAGAAATGCAAGCCGTGTGTTCAACACAACGCGAAAAGAAAACAAGCGGGAGTATGACACAATGCGGGGAGCGCCACCTACCCACCACCCCCAACGCGCACGAGGATCCAAAGCCAAACACGACAGACGCGCAACGAGCCCTTTGAAAGCGTTCAAAGCGATAGGCCTAAAATCAAGGACGCACTTGAACGCAAAGTGCAGGCAGGTGAATGCAGTTTGTTGAGAAACGCCGATGATACGGCTTCGCGGCCAATATTGTCTGCACGGTTGATTCCCAGAATCTGCACTTGCAAAATAATGAAACGGCGCAAACCGTCACACTTGTGTCAGCGGTGAGTGCACCTATCACGCACTGCGGGATCTATTCCTGAAGTGACATTCACACACTGCAGGTTGATGACCAAAAGCAGCAAGCCACTTAATCCTTCCAACAAAATAATCTCATTTTGTCCGTCACACATTGAAGAACGTTTCAGCGACTTTCAACCAAGTCCCTGTTACCAGGCAATGCTTGGCACTTAAAAGTGCCCGAGGGTTTAAGACCCACAGTGGCAAAAAAGAAATGCGTAGAACGCAGCCAGCCACATGGGCTAAATAAATATGAAAAATGCACGATTCATTAAAATGGATGAGCTGTGCATGACTTTACACATTTTCAACTAATTGCAGTAACTGCTTTTAAATCGCTTGTTTCATGTTCCAGGTATTGTGGCCATGGTGGCGAGATGTTAACGACCTCGCCTGGTGTACAACAAGTCGTGGGTTGTATCCCGCCCCCTGACGCCTGTATATTTGGAGTTTGCATGTTCTCTCTCCCCGTGGTGGCAGTGGATTTTTCTCCGGGTCATCCGGTTTTTTCCCTCCACACTTAGAAACATCACGCGCTTTTTTAGTATTAGGCTGCTATAAATGGATAAGCCATTTCATTGGGCTATCATTTGTGGTGGCCAGGTCGCTTATAAAAAGTGTGACAAAGCTCTGTGGGGGCCTGACCCTGGTAAAATAAAAAGTTTAGTTTCAGGGTTTGAATATCAGGGCTTGAATGGCAGCACGGCAGGAAAGCATAAGCAATTCCTCAATGTGCCTCTTCCTCATTTCAAGAAAGCTCTCCGGCTGTCTTGCGCGAGTGAGATTTTAATTGAACAGGAGGATGAAACTCGGTGTACAACACACAAGACATCAGAGATGAAACACACATGTCCATCCACCGTCCTCATTACTCACGGACCCTTATCCATCGCATTAAATACTCGTACGTACGTTATTAAGTCCATTTTGCAACGACAAAAATAATCCACATTGAGCAATTAAAACGTCTTTATTCCAATGGTACAACAGCATTTGTATTGAATTACCCTATGCACTGATTTAAGTAAATACATTTGAAAGTCACAAATCCAATTTTACATTTCAATAAGCAAAAAGGATAAATGTTTCAATATCTCTGAATGCTCATGTTTGGGTTCCAGTGTTGGAACACACGCCAAATCACACATTTTAACATATAAAACACTGGGGCAGTGCTGATGCACCAGAGTGCTATGTTTGAATAGTGTTCGCCCGAACAGAGAACGGTAACCAACTGAGGTTTCATGTGAAGTATTGGCAAACAAAGTTGATAAACTGTGTTTCAGTGTACGAATGTGACAGCGCATTAGTAATAATAGTATCGTGATTTGATGAGAAAAAAAAAACAATCACACGATACTTATTTACACAACACGGATAAAAAAAAAAAACAATTTAGCCAACAGTTTCTCTGTAGGGAGCAGCAGTGCTTCATCGTTCCAAATGACTCCAAACATTTTCCAAATGACTCCAACGCTCAGCTTCGCATCTGGGCAGAATAAAAACCAATTTGCAACATAGAGTAATTATTTCAATAAGTTTGGCAGCGAATGCGGCGAGTTTCAAGCAGCGACGAAAGCGAACGCCATGTGCCGCAGAAGACACCACCCCACATGCGACAGAATTAAATTCCGCTAACTGCGTTGCCGCTTGCCAAACCCGCCACACGCCTCCGCTGAGACGCTCAGATTTCATCGCCCTTTTGAAAATGGTCCCCCCCACCCCTCTCCGCTGCGTCGGCAGCTGCCCCGTTTAACCATCGACTGCGACCACGCTGGCTTGCACGGCGCGGCGCTATCCGGGGGACTCACTTTATGCTGTCCGTGTGAGTCTTGTACTCCATGATGGTGTTCGGAGGCAGGTTCAGCACGCGTCTCAGAGTGTCTCGTATTCGCGATGTCGTTCCCTGGTCGCTCGCAGTCTTGTTCCAGATGGAAATAATGTCCTCCTGCGGGGAATATTCCAAGGCGAAAATGCGTTCAGTCAGTGTCCTGCAAAAAGGATCCTTTGACCATATACACTTTTGGCTAAATGTGCAATTTACAAGCTGTACCCAGGGCCTGCCTAACATTGGGAGGCAACAATTGTACTATTTTTACAGAGCCAGTGGATAAGTGTGCTCTCTGTGCGCTGGCACCAGGCTGAGCCCAAGTACATGTGTCTCACGAGCAGCCAGATGTGGCTTTGCCAGGGGTCAGCGACCAAAACGTAATTTTTTTTCTCATTCGGTAAAAACACACAATACTTAAAAAACCGCAATGCATGCGAATACGAGACGGTGGTAATGGAGCGGCAGGTCGCTGACCCCTGGCCATGGTAAACTGGACTTCCATCGTCAGGAGTCGGCAACCAAAATTAAAAGCGTCGTTGATTTCGAATCCCAGGAGCCGCACTGCAGTTTCGTTTCTTAAAGAGCCACCGCATGCGGCTCCGGAGCCGAAGGTTGCCGACTTCCTGGGCTAAACCAATCTCATGCGGTCCCCCAGACTCTTCCCTGGGATGTTCCTGGGCTGACACAGCCGGTTCCCATCGATTGCAGACAAGTGATAAATAAGCGCCTCTTTTAAACACCGCAAAAAAAAATCAGCAGTGTCTGGCCGACTCAATGGGCCTGTGTTGTAAGCGATGATTCGGCAATTCTGAAACGCCGGGTTCAAACACCAGAAAATGTGTCATTTCACGTGCATCCAATTTGCTTCACGCTGTCCAGTCGCGCAAATCAATGTAGAGGAGGAGGGGTGGGTGGACCTGGAATCGTATGGAGACAACAGCACCGCAGATCTCCTCGCCGACCATGAACTGCTCCCCCAGCATGGCCAGAATGAGGTTTTCCCAGCAGCGTGACGCCAGCCCCTTCCGTAACCGCACGATCCACTTGCCCCCGCTCTTGTTCGCATCGTCCTAGTTCAAGTCAAAACAATAACAAATTGAAAAGATAAACATTCCCCGTGCAGGCTTCAACAAACTGTTGGGGCAAGTGCTGTTAGCGAGCACCTATGAAGGCCGGCACGATGCACGAGGGGGTGGGTGGCCAGCCAGCACCACACCCGGCCGCCTTTGTCTTCCCAGTGGCAGATGTTTACACACCGCACCAGGCACTCATTGAGGCCGAGTGGACCTTAGGGAGGTCAAGGACCGGTTTAGATAATTGGTGTTGGCCGTGAGCGAGAATCGAACTCGGGTCGCCGGGTTTGTAGCGCACCCCACTAACCAGTACACGACCACTCCCCAACTACCAAACAAGATTATGCATGCATGTATGTTGAATTTCTTTCGCACCGTACACAGCCAACCGTATTAATCCAAGAAAGTGCGGGGGAAGGACAACAAACTAAACACAAAAAGCAGTTCTAAAGAAATGAGTTTTCAATGTGGATGTAAAAGTGGCTTCCTTATAGGAGCGTTCCAGACGGCCGCAGAAGCACACCCAAATGAATGAGGTCTTTGAGAAAAGCCTCGAGGAATACTTAAGGCTCAATCAAGGAGGGCACTGCTTAAGAGTTTGGCAAATTTCTTAGAAAACATGATTCCATACGAAACACCCAAACGATGGACAACCGGGTCTGTAATCTGCTTGTCGTACTGCCCCCTGCTGGAGTGTTTCAAGTACAGGACTGCCATTCTCAACTACCCTCAAACGCAATCGTCTTTGATTTTAAATATTCTTCCAATCATTTCCATGCGGTCTCTATAAATTGATCACCCTGCACGGTTTATAAACATGCCGTTTAGACTATTTATTGCTGGTATAAATGTACAAATGATAAGCCACTTCATTGAGCCATCATTCGTGATCAGGTCGCTTTTGAAAAATAAGTTAACTCCTCAGTGGGCTTTGCCTGGGAGGATGGGGATGGTTTAGTTGCATGCGTTTGGGCGATTTTGTTTACCTTTCTTGTACTTTTCACTATCGTGTTTTTGTATCGTTTGTTGTTGTGAACGTTCTTACCCCGTGCCCCAACTACTGGACATCTGTAGAAAAAAAATAAAGAGCTGTATCGCTCAATCGGATTCCTGCGGGATCAATATTCTGATTCTGATTCTATTGGTGCTCCGCTGGATGCTGTTGCTGGGGCTCTTTGCTGGTGCCGGGACTTGGTTTATTCGTCCTGGACTGTGTCTGTGCCTCGGTTTTGCTCTCCCCTCTCGTCTCGCGCGATTGCCTGACCGCCCGCACCCACAATCCCATCTACCCGAATGTTATTTTTGTGAGTGTGTGTCTTGAAACGCTATTGCATTTAGATGCTATGTAAATTGTGGTAATTTTGAGTATAACTGTTAATGCAGGCTACTCCAAATGTAGTACAATTCCATTACTTCAAATTGTTGTCATTACAATTGAATTAACACATTTTGAACATATTTGCTGCATGTTGTTTAGATGAGGTATTTGCACTTACACGAGCCATTTCATTTAATTAAACGCATTTTCATTTTTTCTTTTCTCTTCTGATGTATTTTTTATGTATTCTTAAATTTCATTTGCAATCCCACTCAAGGTCTCGCTTGCAAAAGATGCTTGCAACTGAATGGGTTTCCCAACTGGTTAGAACGTAAATTTAACCAGAGATTTTTTTTTTTAAATCACAAAATTCAAGACCCTAATCTCTTTGCTACCCACAATGCCAACCGACAGCCCATGATCAAGCCACCCAGAATGTGCCCGAGCTCGTCAGATCTCGGATCAGAGTTTAGCCTGAACAGCACCTGGAAGGGAGGGGGCAACCACCACGTTACAGCAGGTGTTAAAACTAAACTCTTTTAATTTTACCAGCTAAGTTTCACTGACCTATATTAGCTCTTTTTCAGAATGTCGATCTGGCCACAAATCATAGTCCAACCGACATGGCTTATCATGTGGAAATATATAGCAGCCAAATACTCTTAAACGCATATTTAATAATGTGGAGGGATAAATGGGAGGACCCGGAGAAAAATCCACGCGACCACGGGGAGAACACGCAAACTCCAAATATACAGCAGCAGGCGTCGGGGTCGAACACGAACCCACGACCTCCTGTATACCAGACGAGGTAATTAACATCTCGCCACCACGGCACCCAGGATACCGTGGGTGTTAGTGTGTCGCAGGGCTACACATAGTGGACATCAGCAGTACAGAAACAAATCCTGTTGCTATGCTGTTCTTATGCCCTCCCTGCCTTTGTGAACCACCAATGACTAACACAAATTATTTGTCAAATAGCAACCACGACCCGCACAGTGTGAGGGAGGGGCCGTCAGTCAGCAGCGGGCTGATAAAAACGGCTGTTGCATGTACGTATTCAGTATTAATCGAGGAAACCCTTAAACCTTGACACGTAGACATGTGCATACACGCACAGTTGCAAACACTCTACACTGACCCTCTAAGGGTATGTATATTAAATAGACTCTCGATTATCTGCGTGCGGTTAAATTTTGATTTAAAGCTTTCGTGACTGCAGGGATTCATCTTCTTGATTCTTTCGGTAAAGTCACGTAGAAGGGAAGTAATAAAAATAAAACATAATAAAATAATTCTCACGACGCTTGCGTTGTGGCCGAAACGTCGTGAGAATTATTTAATTATGTTTTATTTTTATAATTTTATTACTTCCCTTCTACGTGACTTTACCGAAAGAACCAAGAAGATATCTGCATGCGGTTTATCCGATTTGCGGATGAACCACTCACCTGAGATTTTTTATATAAGTTAATAACAAATTGATGTTTCCCTTTAGTCCAAATTAATAATCTAAAAACAGTTGTACATTGTTATTCTTGGAAATGTTTATTACAAGTCAGGTGATTCATTAGAACAAACATTTGCTCTGGTTAATCTGAATTCCCAGTGATCGCCTCTACAGTACAGTGGTTGTATATCTTGACAACTGTGGGTGGAGATTGGTTTTGATTGGCATGGCTCTGCTATACACTTAGTGGGCCAAGACTTCTGCGTGGGACGATAACTCATTGAAGCAGAAATCTTTTTAGGATTTTTCAAACACGTTTAAGTGTCTTTTTGTATGGACTTTTGTAATAAAACAAGATCAATACATTGTTTACTACTGCTTTTTGTTCATTAACAGCATTTTCTTAACTTAAAACATAATTTACACCTATATTTGTGGTTTTTGCAATAAAGATTCGCGGAAAATGGATAATTTTGGACTTTTTGACATGTAGGCCTTCGTGACCAATATTATTAACAATAAAGGTTTTTGGGTTAGATCGCATTATTTATAAATTTGTCGCAAACCTCCACCACCCGACACGGCCAATCAGTAAAAAAATGTATGGAGGGCTTCACTAATCTGGCAAATTGCCCGATGATGCTGGATGTAATTACCAGCGAAACGTCGCACTCAAAAAATTGTAAATGTTGTGGATTCACTCTTCCAACACACAGGCGGTGGGCTAAAGTAGTGAACTATTTGTCATTTGTCAACGTGACACTTTTTTTACTGATTGGCCGTGTCGGGTGATGGAGGGTTGCGACACATTTCTAAATAACGCGATCTCACCCAAAAACCTTCATTATGAATATTTTTGGACTATCCGCAATATTGAAATATCCGCGGCCGTTTTCCCCGTCATTAGCGTGGATAATCGAGAGACTACCGTACATGCTGACACCACACCTGGTGGCATTTTGCAAGCACACATAGCAAGGTAAAAAATTAAGGTTCCCTCACACACCTCCCACATTGGCTTGATGCCCTCTTTGAACAGATGGAAATCGCTGTGCCCTGTCAGGTCACTGGGACGCACGATGTGGCTGTAAAACCTCCAGAACATCTCCACCTGCGCATACGCACGCAGACACAAACACAAACGGCACGGACATAACAAACGCTGTCTCGCCGTTGTCACACCGATGCATTGAGCAGCATTAATGCAGACGTAATGACACAGCCCTCAATTGGGAATGATGTGAACTCTTGCAGTGGGCAGTGTTACGACACCCTGTATCAAAGAAAATTGCCAAAGACGCATTTAAATCAGATCTCATTATCCTCATTACACCCCAACTGTGATTTTTTTTTACATTCTCAGCACAGAAATATATAATGAAAAAAATACACACATTTTAAAACACAATGTGTTGTTTCGTGTAGTCTTTGGTGACCAGGCTAATTCGATCAACTCCCTACACTTGAGAACCGGGGAGGTGAGAGTTCAGTACTCCGACCTCTGTACCACACAGGCACCACCGTTCACCGAATCTTAAGTAGTCATGATTGGATGCCAGACACACGGCCAATAAACTATGCTTTAGACTGCTGTGATTTATTCACAAGGGCAGTAAAGCACCCTACAGGGCTTAAGGACAATGACTTCGTTAAGCAGAAGTCGAAAACTCACAATCCACAAAACATGCTTCACCATGTTTGTGCTCTCTCTATGCATCTCTGTGATATCTGTCTGCTTATATGTCTGTCTATACGTTTCTGGTTCCGTGTTTTATCTCTCTCTCAAATGTTAACATTCTCAGGAAGAACGTAATCAACCAGATAGGGTGTTGACTGTTATGTCATCCGACTCTCTGTTGTATTACATTACATTTCTAAGTATACTAGATTTGTGTTTCTATTTAATTTATACCTGATGATGATTGCTTGTGTTGCAATCGAAACGTCGTATGCTAGTATTTAATTTATTATTTTATCTTTATACGTGACTTTACCGAAAGAACCAAAAAATAATTCCCCATGAAGCTTTCCACGGATATCATATAAAATCCTGAAGTTCACCGGCAATGTCAGACCAGGCAGACGTCCCTAACCGAGCTGGTGGCGAGAGCTAGTAGTCATCCTCGCCGATACTCGATACGTGAAATCACTGACGAATCTGCGCCTGCTACTGTCAATGAGACTTGGGACAAACCCATATGCAGAGATTACCGTGTCTCAATGAAACAGAACGCGGCTGTCAAAAGCGAACCGACTGACGGATGCTATACCGACGCTACACTCTGCCGGTACACCGGGTGCGGGGCGTAGGTGCAAAGAAACGTGCGCGGGCTCACGGAAGCAAAGGTGCCGATGTGCTTGATGTTCTGCTCGTAGTTCTGGGTGGAGGCCTGCCGACCGGGGGTCCGCCGAGAAAACCACAGCGAGTAGTTGTACTGCAGCGGGTGCTCCCCGGGCCCCGGCACCGTGACCTGCGGCAGTCGGGCACACGCGAACTGGTCCCATGAGGACACGCAACGTCACATCAACACAGCCAAGCGGCGTACGTCTGTACCACGGCGACCCGCATTAACACGAGTGAATCGCCTATCTACACCCCTAGTTGATTCACTCTTCCTATAATCCACAGGGTGCAAAGTACAGGCTCGCGCGGGACCAGAAACGGCCCGTTTGTCGAGGCTCCAACTCGAACGCGATCGCCAGCGACACGCGAAGGCCGAGCTTGCAACTCGGCGGCGGGATGTTGATCAACGAAGAGGCAACCTTGCTTCCTTGTGTTCACAAACGCGACAATGCTCTTGCAATTGCCATGTCAGATTCGTGGGCACAACGGCGTGTTTACGAATGCGACATCAATCTCGTCATGTGCTGCCATTTAGCTACTAACACCTTTGTTTGGATGTTTATTATCCCAATCCACAAACCAAGTGACTGCGCTGATAATTAATGCAGGTAACTATAAAGACCCTGCAAGGGAGCGCTATAGGAGTGCTTGACCCACAAGCAGAAGGCTCTAAGTTCAAATCCAGGCCGGTATAGTCTCAGCATATGATTCCTCCATAGTCAAAAAAACGAGTACCATTTTGTTGGATATGAATTGTGGCTGTCTTACGAAGAGATTGGTCCTAGCCACAAGAATTAGGAATTTATACCACTCGTTCAGGACTGCCAATATATTGCAATTACTCCCGCGACATTTATTAAATATTTTGAAATGAATAAACATGTATTATCCTTTATCTTTATAAAGAATAATGATTAATGCCAACTAACCCATTACCCAAAATTTCTCTGTCAACTTGACCAATATTGAAAAATGTTTAAGCAGCTCATGGTCAGTCATTTATGTTGTCATTGCATAGCCACATCTTGATTCTGGCCATTTCACTCATTCACAATCATGGCAACAATGTATACAGGTAGCACCATAATCCACATTCTGATGGCAGGGGCCACTTTCTGCATATACCAACGATGGCTAACTTCCGATAAAGTTGTGCTCATTTTACAAAAACAATGTAAAAAATATGCAGAGGCACACTTGTATTTTTATAATCATATTAAGAGCAGCAATCAAATAGGCCCAAAAACTGATGCCTTTACACTCAAGTGGCCCTTGGGTCAGACTTTATTTGATTTTAAGGTGGCATAAATGGTGAGCTTAAGTTGTATTTACACACAATTGTATACGTGCATATAATATTTCTCACAATGGTTTGCTGGGCTATAACATTCTTGGAAGGTAAGAAATGACAAATCAATTCATAGTGAATGTTGTGCTCACAATACGTGCATTCAATCAATGTGTGTTAGAATCGATGCTTCGCAATCTGTATATAAACGCATGTAAAATTTCTTCACGTGACCCTTCCAGCCACTACAAAATTATTAAAACGTAGTAATTTATGTTTTAATTGAATCACAAAAATGTATTGAATCATGAGGGGAGAAACTTGCGAAACCCTTACTCTTAAACCAACATTATGTTTTATTGAACGTTGACTTTAAAAAGTCATTAACAACTTTTCCCCCACAACTGAGGAGTGGCACACAGCACTGGCAATCATTCTGAACGTCAAAAAAACATTTCAAGCCGACTGGCAGCAGCAGTGACTACGAGTTGACAAACTTGTCCGAGACACCATTGGTACCTCATTTGCCAGTAAAAAATATAATTGGGTTTTTACCATTTTATCTGGCAACAAAACTGACATCTTTTTTTTTGTCCGAGAAAATTTGTAATGGTCGTGTACATGGTATAGGTAGAGAGATCATCACAACTATCACCATCTGGCACCACACGTGTTGTTCCTTTTCATGTTCCTGCCACACCTGGCATCCAAAGTCCAAGGACCACAATTTACAGGATCAACAAGACCACCTGGATTTTTGTCATTCTCTTAATCGCAGATCAATGGGTGCCGTTCCATTGTTGGTCTCGATAACCTGCTCTGCTCGTACCCGTACATGCGTCCCACCCATCACACACAACCTCCTCTTGATCATTACAATCTACACTCCTTTCCCATAATGTTCTATCATACCATCTAAGTTGTGTACCATATCTTCCATCAGTCCCACCCATTACTGCTCCGTCTTACCTCGAGAACATTTCCTTGCCAAATTATATTCCTAAATTCTTGTTTTTCTTTCTCTGCCCTGGCATAAAATACCTCAATTCCTCTACATGTACCTATGTTGAAGTGCCAATTGTTTGTTATCTTGCTCAAGTGTAGCTACTCCTACACCAACAAAGACATTACTCGTGCCTCAAAAACAGATGTCCCTTTAAAACACGCTGCCTTACCTCTCCACTGTTTTAAAGCGATACAATCCTGCTAAATCATTAAGAGTCCATTCCCAGGACTGCATTATGGTCCAGTCCCAAAACAGCTGTTCAAAAGTCAAAAAAAATGCAACAACATTGAATTTTCACAATACTTACAAGCCACGGTACCACCTCCATCCTGAAGCAGCACTCGTGAGCTAAATTTAGGAGGTGAATTAACCCCACACCACTTCTGTTTTAGAGCCATCGTTGAACAGGTTTTACCATCCCTGGTAAAGAATAACAACACGTCCACACGTCAAGTAGAAGAACACGTACTTTGTGCCGTGATGCATTTGGCGATTTTTCCTTTTCACTGTTTTTCTGTGTGCTATTTTCTTCATTGTTATCATGGTCTCCGCTATCATCATCTTTAAGCCTGAAAAACACAATACACACGGACAATCAATATCTATCGCAGTGATATTTGATAGTTTAAGCAGGGTTGTTACTATCTTATCGAATTTTCAAACATCAAAATCCCGTTCGAAATGAGTAATGATCGAACCCTTATCACGCAAAATGTTCAAACCGCACAGCATGAAAGAATGTTGATGCCTCACGTGACAACCCATTCCATAAAAAATTGACCCGTAAAAACAAAGTTTTTCACTATAAATCCTTTATATGCGTGGCGGCTAGAGTCCTCTCGTCCTCTAGCTTGAGATGGATGCCACCTATGGGTCAGATGATTGCCTGCTACCATTAAGCAATTGGTAATTAAATCTTTTTTTTTCTTCCTAAAAAGTGTAAAAATTTTGAAAAAAAATTTCACGAAAATTAATTGTCACGCACAAGGAGTCTGTGTGCAAAATGTCAGCTCGATTGGATCACGGGAAGTGGGTTAAAAAACGACCGAAAGATGTGCACGGTCGTAAGCGCGCAAGCAAGCAAGCAAGTGAACTTAATATAAAGGATTTTAAAAAATACGACACTTTTGCCAGTCCACTGCTGAATGAAGATCTCACCATGCCGGGTAGCACGGCAGGGGCAGTTTATCAATGACGACTTTTATCAAAGGGAACATTCGTAATATTCGACTCCTGAGAGCTGATGGGTTGAGCCAATCACAGAATGCAATTTGAACTGGCGAACATCTGACTGCAAGTCAAGCAGCGCTCCAAGCAACGCAACGCACACCAATCCAATAATAGAATTGGGAAATGAACTTCGAGTAAAAATAGCAACCACAGGAGGAAGGATAATTCAAATAGCCGGCAATTATAATACACTTGGAATAAACATTATCTTTGCCGAGGGTTCATACTCTTAGGTTTTTTCGGTAAAGTCACGTAGGTAAAAAATAAATAATAAAAATAATAGAAATAATAGAAAAATATTTCAAATTTTATTTCTATTATTATTTTTATTTATAATTTTATTTCTATTTTTTTTATTTTACCTACGTGACCTTACCGAAAAAAACCTAACAGTATGAATCCTTGCAGTCACACGAAAGCTTCAAATCTAGAATTTGCCGAGGGTGTTTGAAAACCTTCTGCAGAGTAAATTCTAAAACAGCTCACCGAGAAAAATGACAATTTAGACGCATGGCCTGACACGGCGGTTCAGGATCCTACAAAAGATGTTTTTGAAATTGGCCAAATATTGACTTACAAACTGTGCATGTTGCAGTGTTCACGTGCTCACAGACCTTTTGTCAACGCACTGTTTGGATGAGGGCCTCCTCAAGTCAATGCGAGTCGTGGCAGGTTATTTAACCATGGCTTCCCCACGGTGGTCAGTGCAGGTTGGTGGGAGCATAGAATCACAGTACAACAATGTACATCTTGAATCATTGCCTAACTTGATGCAGCAAATCTGGCTGTGACGGTCCCACCTGATGACGGAGACTTGTGTTGCCTCCGAAACGTCGTGATTTTTATTTTATTTTACTTTCATTAATTGTAATGTTTTACCTACGTGACTTTACCGAAAAAAACCTAAGAATATGAATCCTTGCAGTCACGAAAGCTTCAAATCTAGGATTAACAAATCACCAAGGATGCAAACGATCTATCTCCCCAAGATCTCAGACGCTGGGATGGACGGAGCATGACAAGTGCTTAAGATAGACCGACCACCATGCGCACAGAACAGGTGTAATAATAGGCGGTGTGGGTATTTAAACCTAGCCACCCACCCACACCTCCCTTCAACAACACTTACTGACCAGCATGAAGTATGGCCAAATATGGTCCAATGCCCCCTGGGTGTTGGGTGGGACCCTCATACGATAGTGGATTATGAAAAAAACTGGATGTTCACGTGGTTTGCAATTGCACTACTGTACTCACATCTGTACTTAAACCTGTGAACATAAACTGCACTTTAGGTGTCTGTATGTATATACTGTATGTTTAAATTATTTCGCGTCGTACGTAGCCAAACGTGTTAATCGGAGGTACGGGAAGAGGGGTGGGTGGTGAAGGACAACCAACCAAACACAAGAGTAACCTTCTTCTTGGTTCTTTCGGTAAAGTCACGTAGAAGGGAAATAATAAAATAATAAAAGTAACACACAATCAAACAGTACATTTATTTTATTATGTTTTATTTTTTTTATTTTTTTTCCCTTCTACGTGACTTTACCGAAAGAACCAAGAAGATGAATCCCTGCAGTCACGAAAGCTTTAAATCGAAATTTAAGAGTAACCTTGTATTTCTCGGGTTAAACAAGTTGTACATGCCGGAAACATCGCAGCCGGTTTTATATATTTACGGATTTCATGGCCACGTTGTGTAGCACTTCGTAAATCGATTATTGGGTGACGGGGAGATGATTATTTAACCATACTTCACCACCCTAGTAGGTGAGTTTTGGTGAATTAAGTGGGGTGGTAGGTGGTTAAAAATCGCGCGGTTACAATAATGAATTGTGCCAACTACAATGAACCCGTGCCATGGGGTAAGTGGTGAGTGAGTGGTGAGTAATTGATGAGGGAGTGGTGAGTGAGTGGTGAGTGGGTGAGTGAGTGGTGAGTGAGTGGGTGAGTGAGTGAGTGAGTGGGTGAGTAATTGGTGAGTGAGTGGTGAGTGAGTGGTGAGTGAGTGGTGAGTGGGTGAGTGAGTGGTGAGTAATTGATGAGGGAGTGGTGAGTGAGTGGTGAGTAATTGGTGAGTGAGTGGTGAGTGAGTGGTGAGTAGTTGGTGAGTGAGTGGTGAGTGGGTGAGTGAGTGGTAATTGGTGAGTGAGTGGTGAGTGGGTGAGTGAATGGTGAGTAATTGGTGAGTAATTGGTGAGTGAGTGGTGAGTAATTGATGAGTGAGTGGGTGAGTGAGTGGTGAGTAGTTGATGAGTGAGTGGTGAGTGGGTGAGTGAGTGGTGAGTAATTGGTGAGTGAGTGGTGAGTGAGTGGTGAGTAATTGGTGAGTGAGTGGTGAGTGAGTGGTGAGTAATTGGTGAGTGAGTGGTGAGTAATTGATGAGTGAGTGGGTGAGTGAGTGGTGAGTAGTTGATGAGTGAGTGGTGAGTGGGTGAGTGAGTGGTGAGTAATTGGTGAGTGAGTGGTGAGTGAGTGGTGAGTAATTGGTGAGTGGTGAGTAATTGGTGAGTGAGTGGTGAGTAATTGGTGAGTGAGTGGTGAGTGAGTGGTGAGTAATTGGTGAGTGAGTGGTGAGTGAGTGGTGAGTAGTTGGTGAGTGAGTGGTGAGTAATTGATGAGTGAGTGGGTGAGTGAGTGGGTGAGTGGTGAGTAATTGGTGAGCGAGTGGTGAGTAGTTGGTGAGTGAGTGGTGAGTGGGTGAGTGGTGAGTAATTGGTGAGTGAGTGGTGAGTAGTTGGTGAGTGAGTGGTGAGTGGGTGAGTGGTGAGTAATTGGTGAGTGGTGAGTGAGTGGTGAGTAATTGGTGAGTGAGTGGTGAGTAATTGATGAGTGAGTGGTGAGTAATTGGTGAGTGGTGAGTGAGTGGTGAGTGAGTGGGTGAGTAATTGGTGAGTGAGTGGTGAGTGAGTGGTGAGTAATTGGTGAGTGAGTGGTGCCAACTACAATGAACCCGTGCCATGGGATAAGTAGATCATACAAAAGGTATTAATCCAGGCTCAAGGTTGCTGAGCTTACGAGATCAAGAGACGCATTCCGAATCTATTGGTCATAGACGGTCACTGTACACTAATAGACATGATTCAATTACGCAACGTGGAAGTCATACAGTAGAATGTTAGTCGGTCAAAACACACGGTAATCACAAGGCACGTGGAGCTAGGACACTGTGTAACTATACACATTAGATACATGATCATTTGATTGGACTCGTTGGATAGAATGATAAATGTTAGACGGGCTTTGGAGCACATGTCCACCAATGTACTCACTCACACGGGCAAAGTTAGCCTCTCCCTGGAGCAATGTAATTCCAAAGCTATCGTTGGCGTAAGAAGGCCTTTACGAGAAATGGGAAGTTTAATTCCTGACGTTTTAACAACTTTAAAGGTTCAAATAATTAAACGCCTAACATTAAACCGCATCGAAGCCACGACTAGGCCGAGCGCCTTTGACGCCGCCGCGACTATCAACTCACGCGTCAAACTTGTTGTTCATGTCTTCTACACAGCAACAAATGGTATTAGTACAAATGTACAAACATACAAAAATAAATACGCGATACACTTCGTTGTTATCTTAATTCTATGTGTAAAACGTTCCTTATTATATAAAACTAGCCGCGGCCTCGGCCCGCAAAGCCTCAAAACAACTCCGCGTTTCTCTTGTCAAACTCTCAACTGCGCATGCGCGGAGCCCCCACCTCCAACGTCCCCCCTCCCCTCATCCCCCATTTTACCCGCCTCACCCCCTGAGCCCCTCCCCTTTATGCTCCGCCCCTCCATCCCCCTCCCCTCCATCCCCCTCCCCTCCATCCCCCTCCCCTCCATCCCCTTCCCCTCCATCCCCCTCCCCTCCACCCCCTCCCCTCCACCCCCCTCCCCTCCAACCCCCTCCCCTCCACCCCCTCCCCTCCACCCCCTCCCCTCCACCCCCCTCCCCTCCACCCCCCTCCCCTCCATCCCCTCCCCTCCAACCCCCTCCCCTCCATCCCCCTCCCCTCCACCCCCTCCCCTCCATCCCCCTCCCCTCCAACCCCCTCCCCTCCATCCCCCTCCCCTCCATCCCCCTCCCCTCCATCCCCCTCCCCTCCATCCCCCTCCCCTCCATCCCCCTCCCCTCCAACCCCCTCCCCTCCTCCCCCTCCCCTCCACCCCCCTCCCCTCCATCCCCCTCCCTCCATCCCCCTCCCCCAACCCCCTCCCCTCCATCCCCCTCCCCCTCCCCCCCCTCCCCTCCATCCCCTCACCCTCCATCCCCCTCCCCTCCATCCCCTCCCCTCCAACCCCCTCCCTCCATCCCCCTCCCCTCCATCCCCCTCCCCTCCAACCCCCCCTCCCTCCATCCCCCTCCCCTCCACCCCCTCCCCTCCACCCCCCTCCCCTCCACCCCCTCCCCTCCATCCCCCTCCCCTCCAACCCCCTCCCCTCCATCCCCCTCCCCTCCACCCCCCTCCCCTCCAACCCCCTCCCCTCATCCCCCTCCCCTCCAACCCCCTCCCCTCCATCCCCCTCCCCTCCATCCCCCTCCCCTCCAACCCCCTCCCCTCCATCCCCCTCCCCTCCAACCCCCTCCCCTCCATCCCCCTCCCCTCCACCCCCTCCCCTCCATCCCCCTCCCTCCACCCCCTCCCCTCCATCCCCCTCCCCTCCAACCCCCTCCCCTCCATCCCCCTCCCCTCCAACCCCCTCCCCTCCACCCCCCTCCCCTCCACCCCCTCCCCTCCACCCCCCTCCCCTCCACCCCCCTCCCCTCCATCCCCCTCCCCTCCACCCCCCTCCCCTCCATCCCCTCCCCTCCACCCCCTCCCCTCCACCCCCCTCCCCTCCACCCCCCTCCCCTCCACCCCCCTCCCCTCCATCCCCCTCCCCTCCACCCCCTCCCCTCCCATCCCCCTCCCCTCCACCCCCTCCCCTCCACCCCCTCCCCTCCACCCCCCTCCCCTCCATCCCCCCTCCCCTCCACCCCCCTCCCCTCCACCCCCTCCCCTCCATCCCCCTCCCCTCCAACCCCCTCCCCTCCAACCCCCTCCCCTCCAACCCCCTCCCCTCCATCCCCCTCCCCTCCACCCCCTCCCCTCCAACCCCCTCCCCCTCCCCTCCATCCCCTCCCCTCCAACCCCCTCCCCTCCATCCCCTCCCCCCTCCCCACCTCCCCTCCATCCCCCTCCCCTCCAACCCCCTCCCCTCCATCCCCCTCCCCTCCATCCCCCTCCCCTCCAACCCCCTCCCCTCCATCCCCCTCCCCTCCAACCCCCTCCCCTCCAGCCCCCTCCCCTCCACCCCCCTCCCCTCCAACCCCCTCCCCTCCACCCCCCTCCCCTCCAACCCCCTCCCCTCCAACCCCCTCCCCTCCAACCCCCTCCCCTCCAACCCCTCCCCTCCATCCCCCTCCCCTCCAACCCCTCTCCTCCACCCCCCTCCCCTCCACCCCCCCTCCCCTCCACCCCCCTCCCCTCCATCCCCCTCCCCTCCAACCCCCTCCCCTCCAACCCCCTCCCCTCCATCCCCCTCCCCTCCAACCCCCTCCCCTCCATCCCCCTCCCCCCATCACCCCTCCATCAACCCCCCCATCACCCCCCCCCCATTATCCCCCCCATTATCACCCCTCCCCACATCACCCCCCCCACATCACCCCCCCCCACACCACCCCTCACCATCACCCCTCCCCACATCACCCCCCCACCCCCCCCCCACACCACCCCCCACCATCACCCCCCACCATCACTCCTCCACATCACCCCTCCCCACATCACCCCCCCTACACCACCCCCCCCCCACATCACCCCCCACCATCACCCCCCACCATCACCCCTTCCCCCGTCACCCCTCCCCCCGTCACCCCTCCCCACATCACCCCTCCCCACACCACCCCCCACACCCCCGCCCCTCCCCTCCCCTCCCCACATCACCCCCCACACCACCCCCCCCCACTCCACCCCCACATCACCCCCCCCACATCACCCCCCCCCACATCACCCCCACATCACCCCTCCCCCCATCACCCCCCCTCCCCACATCACCCCCCACACCACCCCCCCCACACCACCCCCCACATCACCCCTCCTCCACATCACCCCCCCACACCCCCCACATCACCCCCCCACATCACCCCTCCCCACATCACCCCCCCCCCCACACCACCCCCCACACCCCCGCCCCTCCACATGGCGTCCGCCAGCGGCCTGGGCACCCGGGCAAGGCTCTTATCGCTTCTGGATGACATCGAAGTGTTATCGAGGTACGACAAAACATCCACCGATGTAGAGGAAACTTCGTACGTGTTCTGCAACACGATGGCGAAGTTCGTTCGCAGGCGGGAGAACGTTTTCTCGATTTTTCTACAGGGGGAGATCTGGTCTTCGTAGGCGCCGCCTGCGGCCTTGCGTCGGGCTCCGGCCAATTTTCTAGGCGAGATCGGTGTTGGCTTACTCGGATGATTTTTTTTTTTCTACCGTCAACGATTATAATGTAAGTTACGCTTTTAATATCCGTTGTATTATCGCTGTGGAACGTTTAAGTATGCTTAAAATAGTGCAGGGAGAGAAGCCGCGGTCAACTCTACAGGAGACTTAAATGCGCGATTCCATGTCGCGCCAAAGATCATCATTCCACTGCTGGATGAATGCCTCCGCAAGCTGCCACCCCTCACGATCCTGCGGTGTTAATAATCCTCCTTCATCTCATCAGTTGATGTCCTTTCCATCCATGTAGATCTAGATATGTACTCAATATGTGCTCCCTTTTACCAACCCGTATGAAGTGGTCAACCCAACCTGCCTCCGTGACGGACGAACCCAAAAAAATGTATTTATTCTGTTGGTTAGGAAAACAAGTTTGTGATCTGAATTTGCCCTGTGTGTGTGTTGCAGGGAACTTGTGGAAACGCTCGCGTTGTCAAGGAACCAGAAGTCCAGCCAGTATGGAGAAGAGATACAGGTAGGGTCACATTGCCCCCCGAGATGCCAAATCAATCTCGTTAATACTACAACAAATTAACAGCAATAATATACATTTCTATTTAAAGCTTTCGTGACTGCAGGGATTCATATTCTTGGTTCTTTCGGTAAAGTCACGTAGAAGGGAAATAATAAAATAATAAAAATATAAAACAAAACTCTCACGACGTTTCGACTGCAACACAAGCAATCATCATCAGGTGTGACTTTACCGAAAGAACCAAGAATAACAATAATATATTCGGACCGAACCGATTAACCGAGCACAGTAATTACAACTAAGTCTAACCAGACTGTGGACTTACACGGAATTCTGCTGCTCCGTAAGACAAATAAGTCCCCCTGCGTTCATATTGTCCCTTAAATGCGCGAACCGTACGCCAAAGAGTATCAACTGCAAACTCGGTATACTTATGTGATACTGATGACAATACTATGTTCTATCATAAAAAATTTTAAATATATTTTTAAACGTTATTTTTACACGCTTTCTATTAACTCTTGTTGTATCCTCAAATCTTGTAACTCAGTTTTAACCCACTTCCCAGTGTGGTATCAACTGCGAACTTGGAAAACTTATGTCTTACTGATGACAATACTATATTCTATCATTAAAAAATATATATATATTTTAAACCATCTTTTTTATATGTTATGTTTCGGCTTGGGTCTAATAGTCCACGTTCGACTGACATTGGCTGTAAATCACCACGGCCCCTTACGTTATGGCAAGCTTCGGGGCCACTTCCTGGAGTCGTGGAGTTCTGCCATTACGAGTACGGTTACATTTCATTAAAGCGTGTTTTTAAATACATCTTATTTTCCCTTCAGATCTTAGAGCTGCTGATCAGGAAGGACGAGGAGCTGCAGTCTGCGTTGAAGTGCGCGACGGAGCAGGGGGAGGTTCACCTCGAGATACTGCGGCTGGAGCGAGAGGCAGAGAGGAGGGATCAGGACATCCAGCGGCTACAGCGGCAGCTCAAGGAGGCTCAGCATATCCTCGTACGCACGCACACCAGGAGTTTGGGGAACGTTTTTCCCTTTCCGATCAGAGGTCGCAACCGGGTACCCGATACCCGTACCCTACCCGATATCCGGCTACCCGTACTCGGCCAGGTACGGGTACGAGTACCCGTTTGCGACCCTGGTGCGGCCGGGTACGGGTAGGCCGTGAGTCACTGGTGAGTAACCGTTTGTCACTCATTTTGGATTTTGGGAAGGGTACGGGTAGGGAACGGGTACCCGTACCCGGCTGGGTACGGGTACCCATTTGCGACCCTGGTCCGGCCGGGTACGGGTAAGGAATCAAAACCCGTTTGCGACCTCTGCTTACGATATATTAGGAAGTCACTGGAGCGATGCGCTTTTAAAAATAGATTGAAAAAACTCATTTCTTTAGAACTGCTTTTTGTGTTTAGTGTTTTGTCCTTCCCCCGCACCTCCGATTAGCACGGTTGGCTACGTACGGTACGAAAGAAGTTCAACATACATACAAAATGATTAAATATGGCTGAGAGGTAACGTACACAATTTGGGACAAATGACGGTGTTTTTTTAGTCTTGGCTTTATCCCTCAGCAAGGTGATGTGAAAGCTGATGGTGAAACGTTGAACTGAACATTGGCACAGTTCTGAGGCTCAGAAGTGAGTCGGTAGCCAGTAGTCGCGTATATTTTATATAATCCCAGTACTGAACAACTTTTCATTCCTGACATAGTTGGGGGACTAACATTGTGGTCGTTGCATATATATTATAATTGAGTCCAGTAGAACTCTTTCGTGTCGAAGTTGGGGGGGAACCAACGTTGCAGATCCTATCTGTAATCTATCCAATAACCACCGGGGGAACCATGTTATCTTACGACACTCCCAACTTCCCTTGGCAACACACACTCCCAACTTCCAAAGCGTGAAAGTGGCCCTTCAGAGTGACACAAGTAAACGGGCACGCGAAAATTAGAGACACGGTTTCGCTTGGTCAAAAAATATTTATTTTTAAATCCTTTATATTAAGTTCGCTTGCTTGCTTGCGTGCTTGCGTGCTTGCTTGCAAATCTTTCGGTCGCTTTTTAACCCACTTCCCGTGATCCAATCGAGCTGACATTTTGCACACAGACTCGTTGTGCGAGACAATTAATGTTCGTGAAAATTTTTTTCAAACATTTTACACTGTTTAGGGAAAACAAATTAAATATTTAATTACCAATTGCTTAATACTGGCAGACAATCATCTGACCCATAGGTGGCAGCCATCTCAAGCCAGAGGACGAGAGGACTCTAGCCGCCACGCATATAAAGGATTTATAGTGAAAAACTTTGTTTTGACAGGTTATACTTATTAGTATCTCAGATAATTGCAGCAATGCGTACTGTTTAGTTTGCGGGCCACGTGACCGTGGGCCGTTGGCAACGAAGAAGTTCCCTACCGCTGCTCGAGAGGGAAATGCCTTCAGGCTCTCATTATTTGAATGGAAACGATGTATCACATGGAAAGGCAACCATCAGTGATGAAGGGTGATGCAAATGCATACAAATTACTTGATCAATTTCAGCATGAAAACCCACAACCCAGATTCATGTGTCAGCCAGACTGCCCGAGTTGTGAAGAATGTGAACATACTCTGAAATGCACAGTATTTAAACTACCATTTAACGGTGGTATACTTCTGTAGGCCACCGCAGTTTATCAAGCTAAAGAGAAGCTCAAGAGCATTGAAAGAGCCAGAAAAGGTAACGTGTCTTATTTTCATATTGACATGCATACATGTGAAGTTTGTTGTAACTGGGTGAGGATGTTGCATTCAACCTTTGTTCAGAATAACAAATATTGATTGTTTATTAACTACAAAACTGCAATGTATATATAGCCTTTGACATACTGAATTGTACAAGGTGGTCCAGATGTCTTGTCACCCCCAATTAATTGACCCATAATAGCGTGTCCTTTACATATTCATTTGTCGTAAACCCTTCAAAAAATATTAAGTTTTAGAGAATTAAGCAGATGAATTAGTCTCTGCGTGTGATAATAAAATAAACAACATTACAGTCCCCACAGGCTGAAGACTTCTGGACCAATATTTGCCAGCAGATTTGTTTTGAGCAGGCAAACGCTAGACTCGTTTAGCGCTTCAAAGTCTCATCAGCACCTCGCAGGATCATGAGTCAACTAGTTTCCTCAAGTTATGTTGCGACTCAGAAAGTTGAAACCGGGGCCAGTATTTCTGCTAAAATTGCTTTTACAAAGCACTGGGAACTTGTCCACAATACCCATAATTTGATTGACTTGAACCTTGTTTTTTTTAATCTTTTTTTTTTAGTTGAAGAGAGATATTATTGTCTATATTACCACTATCCAGATTGTGGGCAGCAGAGAATATGCAGCAAAATGTATTGTTATACTGTACATGTATTACTCTTTGGTTCTTTCGGTAAAGTCTTTACTTTACCGACTTTACCAAAAGAACCAAAGAGTAATTCCTGCAGTCACGAAAGCTCCAAATTAAGTTTGTACATGTATTGTCCCATGTCTATTCCCCAACCCGCACTGACCAACGTGCTGAAATATGGTCAATTAATTCCCGCGGCCTGGCACATCCAGCAGTGTATTGACAAAGAGCTGTACTTGTATCATCGTCCAAACCGGTATATAGAATGAGTTTTGTTAAAGCTTATTATTGGGTTAGCGTCACAGTTTTCACGGCGATATTTACGTCGAATAAGTGCTTGCAATGACATTTGAATTGCCTTTGTGATTTTGAACCAGGAGCCGTGTATTCCGAGGAGCTCATCAAGTATGCTCACAGGATCAGCGCGAGCAATGCAGTGGCTGCCCCTCTCAACTGGATGCCTGGTAACCACCTCGCATTCATTTTCCATTCTTTTGAGACGGTGTTGTTTTCAGTATGCAACTAAGGTTTCTGTTAGTATTCTTGGTTCTTTCGGTAAAGTCACGTAGAAGGGAAATAATAAAAAATAATATTGTTTAATATTTATATAATTTTTATTATTTCCCTTCTACGTGACTTTAAGGAAAGAACCAAGAATATGAATCCCTGCAGTCACGAAAGCTTTAAATCAAAAATTTCTGTTAGTAGTGAAGCATTACAACACCACATTGACTTGGCATGTAATTCTTTCAGAGTTAATAAATTTAGCACTGAATTGTAGTAAAACAGCCGGGCGTATACTCTAGTGATACTGGACCCCACCAGGGGAACGTGGAGTTACACCATCAGCTCCAGAGCCCCCCCCCCCCCCCCCATGGAGACGATTGCAGCTTCTTTGCTCGTTTGAGCAGAGATGTGCTAACTTTTTAAAATCCTTTATATTAAGTTCACTTGCTTGCTTGCTTGCGTGCTTACGACCGTGCAAATCTTTCAGTCGTGTTTTAACCCACTTCCCGTGATCCAATCGAGCTGACATTTTGCACACAGACTCGTTGTGCGTGACAATTTATTTTCGTGAAATTTTTTTTCCAAAATTTTACACTTTTTAGGAAAAAATAAATTATATTTAATTACCAATTGTTTAATGGTGGCAGGCAATCATCTGACCCATAGGTGGCAGCCATCTCAAGCCAGAGGATGAGAGGACTCTAGCCGCCACGCATATAAAGGATTTATAGTGAAAAACTTTGTTTTTACGGGTTACTTTTTTTTGTTAAACTATATTTACACAAGTGTTATATCAATTCATATATTTTGTCATCATAAGCACAATTTTGTAAAGTGAAAATTGCACGGTGATCTTTGACATTTGAAATTACTTTATGCTTAAGGTGTGCTTGTGCAAACATTTCAGTGTTTTACATGGCACTACAGGTAATTAAATAAAAATGTCCTTGATAAAAAAAGCAGATGAGGCTAAAAGGTCTCTTTTCAAGTGAGAATTGGGCCAACAAAAGTCAAAAAGCAACTATTTATAGGATCAAAAAAGATATATAATACAAAAACACAAATGCATGCCATTCCTTTATTTAAGACCAGGGAATTTTACATTAAATAGGGTGTCATTTTAAATGGAGTATGTAGAAAATGAGGTACAAATCGAAATGTCGTGCGCATTCGACGAATTTCTCTTTCGGCTTGGTTCTTGCCATATCTCGGCAGCGATCTCATACGTCCGTACTCGTAGCACTTGCCCCAACAGTACTATTAAAGGCTTTCTGTGTTCTGTGTATGTGTGTGTCCTCAGGTGACCCCAGGAGACCGTACCCCACTGACCTGGAGATGAGGAGCGGATTCTTGGGACAGCTGAGCAACCTCCCGTCAGCCGCGATGAACGGACACTTGCCCGGGGATGCCATGGCTGCCGGTCGCCTCCCAGGTAAACAACAAAACGCAACGCAAGCAACACCTGGATAATTGGCACGGACCAAGAGTGGAGCAGGAGCTACGTTTAAAGCTCAGCAGAGATGGTAGCCTTTTTTATAACGGAGGCGTGGGTAAGTGACAGCTGTGTAACTTTACTTTCTATGCAACGGTTAGACAGGTCGGTGCTGATGGAAATAAGTAGAACAGTAAAGATATTACATTCATCTTCTTGGTTTTTTCGGTAAAGTCACGTAGAAGGGAAGTATTTTTATTATTTTATTACTTCCCTTCTACGTGACTTTACCGAAAAAACCAAGAAGATGAATCCCTGCAGTCACGAAAGCTTTAAATCGAAAAAAAATATATTACATTTACTGATGATTTACAATCCATTGTCAATGCACTGCTGGATAAAGTCCCCCATCCCATGTAATTCGTGGGAGTTGTTAGCTCAAACTTCACCACGTAGTATTTTTCGATTTAAAGCTTTCGTGACTGCAGAGATTCATCTTCTTGGTTTTTTTCGTGACTTTACCGAAAGAACCAAGAAGATTCACCACGTAGGTTAGCGAGGGTTGGCGAACGGACTGGTTCGGATATCACTCCACTGATGTTAGCTGTTATCTGTATTTAAACTCGGGTTGTTAAGTTCAGTGTAGAGCAATGACTAATGTGCCATTGATTTGTCCTCTGGGTTTTAGTATGTCAGGTTTATTCAAATATTTGAAGGCACTTCTGTCTTTACACAGTTTTAGGTGGGTGGCCATATAGGGCACATATTTATCAAGGAGGCGACTGAAACCAATAAGTATTTTTCAATTGGAATCCAGTTTGTATTTCCACGTGCGATCTTTTTAACAAGCGTGTGGCGTATGTTGCATTGCAGACATCTTGGCACCGCAGTACCCCAGCACCTGGCAGACGAGCGGAGAGCTCTCTGTGGGGCTCATGCCAACTCCTGGAACGGACTTTTCTCTGGAGCTCCCGGGACACAACAAAGAGAACGAGGACGAGGTGGAGGCCATGTCCACGGACTCATCCAGCAGCAGCTCTGACTCGGACTAAACCAATTCGGCCATGAATGAGACAGATCTCACAGTCGAACCATGGACTGAAATGTGGGGAGACGTGTGATACTGTCCCCTTCTGTTAGCGGCTCATTTAGTGATGGTGGGGCATTACGCATTTCCTCCGTGGTTTACTTTAGCCTCTAGTTATTTAATACATTTTACCACCGAATGGATCCACCACCTGGTTTTCCATCGTCCCCTACTTTTTGTGTGCGTAGCCAAGTATGGGTATCTGTTTGGGCTCACTCTTGCAACGTGTCCGAACCTCTTGTCGTCTTCGTTACTTTCACTCCAAACCATTTGAGATAACTTTACTGTAATCTTTGTAATATAACAACGTTAAATAAAGTTCTGTTAGCATTTGAATGTACAGTAAAAAATCAATAGGGCTTTGGTACAGAATATGTAATTGTTGACTGTGGTATTGATTTCTACATGTTATAATGTTAGAGAATTCAGTGGCGGTTTGTGTTGGTCCAAAACTGGTTCTTTTAAACGGGCGCCACCCATTGTATAGCAATGAATCAAATATTTTTTATGTTCAAAGGATATTCTTTTTCATGACCCAATTATTTAAAGACATTGAAGGTGTAAAAAAGAAACATTGGTTAAATGTGGCTCACTTGATGAAATGTTTTGTAAAAATGTATTTGACATGCATATTTACAATAAAGTTTCATTTTTTTTACCATGTGGAGGGTGGGAATTATTGGCTATGTAGGTATTGTATTGCAAGAATTCATACTCTTCGGTAAAGTCACGTAGGTAGAAAAAAAAATTACGACGTTTCGATTGCAACACAAGCAATCGTCGTGAGGTGAAAAATTACAGCAGGTATTTTTTCAAAAGAATAAATATTTCTTCCTGCCTCAGCAATCCGCCAAAAGTCATGTTACATAGTGAATTATATTATCAATCAAGGTGACAATCCACCGCTGGCAAACTCATGGAGGCCTTGTGGGGTGATCGGTAGTGTAGCGGCTATGAACCCGGTGACGGTTAAATTTCTGCTTGTGCCCAACACCATTGACAATTGTCTGAACCGGTCATGGGCCTCCTCCCCTGGGTCGACTCAGCCTCAAATGAGTACCTGGTGCAGTGTGTAAAAATCGCCAATGGGGAGACAAAGGTGGTCGGGCGTGGTGCTGGCCACCCACCCCATCGTGTGCCGTACCGGCCTTCATAGGTGCTCGCTAACAGCACTTGCCCCAACAGTTAAGGCTACAAGGGGTAGCTGTCAATTTCTAAAATATACTCTGGTTATTTTGGTAAAGTCACGTAGGTAGAACAATAAAACAATAAAAATATCGAAAGTCGTGATAAATTATTTTTTATTTTGTTTTATTTTTCTACCTACGTGACTTTACAGAAAGAACCAAATAGTATGGATTCCTGCAGTCACGAAAGCTTCAAATAAAGATTCTAAAATATATTTTAAAAATCGCAACACGCTCACCAATGACACTGGCCTTGAAAGGCAAAACAAAAAGTCGACATTTCGATCAATGATCCTTTTTTTCATAGGATAAAATTTGGAGAATGCACTTTACACCATGGATTCTGCTGAGAAATATTTTTTAATGTCTTGAGCAGTTTTTTCTTGAAAGAGGAATATGATTAATTATAATGTTGGAAGCTATTAACAGACTAATGAATAATCAAAAGTTTTTACCAAATAAACTAATTTGTATTATACCTACAACGGGTGCCAATTACAGGGACCCCTCTACTTATGAACATATGAAGAACTAGTGGCATCTATACCTGCAGAACGTGAAGAACCAGTGGCATCTACATCTGCAGAACGCGAAGAACCAGTGGCATCTACATCTGCAGAACGCGAAGAACCAGTGGCATCTACATCTGCAGAACGTGAAGAACCAGTGGCATCTACATCTGCAGAACGCGAAGAACCAGTGGCATCTACATCTGCAGAACGTGAAGAACCAGTGGCATCTACATCTGCAGAACGTGAAGAACCAGTGGCATCTACATCTGCAGAACGCGAAGAACCAGTGGCATCTACATCTGCAGAACGTGAAGAACCAGTGGCATCTACATCTGCAGAACGTGAAGAACCAGTGGCATCTACATCTGCAGAACGTGAAGAACCAGTGGCATCTACATCTGCAGAACGTGAAGAACCAGTGGCATCTACATCTGCAGAACGTGAAGAACCAGTGGCATCTACATCTGCAGAACGTGAAGAACCAGTGGCATCTACATCTGTAGAACATGAAGAACCAGTGGCATCTACATCTGCAGAACGTGAAGAACCAGTGGAATCTACATCTGCAGAACACGAAGAACCAGTGGCATCGACAGAACATGAAGAACCAGTGGCATCTACATCTGCAGAACGTGAAGAACCAGTGGCATCTACAGAACGTGAAGAACCAGTGGCATCTACATCTGCAGAACATGAAGAACCAGTGGCATCTACATCTGCAGAACATGAAGAACCAGTGGCATCTACATCTGCAGAACATGAAGAACCAGTGGCAAATTCAGACCTTATCGGTCACCCCGTGACCCTTACAAATCTCAACGTTCATCCCAGAGGCGGCTTCTTCATTAGGGCGATTGGGCGACGCACCACCAATGTCATTCAACCACAGAGTCACGCTAGCCGTCACTGTGCCTCTGCATATAGTCCAATCAGCGTCATGTCACGTTCTGTGGAGTACCGCCTCTTTTTGGGCTTTCACTCCGGCTGAGAATCGCCCCGAGTGGCCCCATAGACTTACATTCAAAGGTGTTTTTTTTCGACCGGGGGGCGCTGCAATGCATTCTCTATGGCTTCCGGGAGGGCTCGCCCTAACGTGCTTACGTCATCATACGTCAGCACGTTGCATCCAACAATATTATTTGTCGCCACCTAGTGGAATCTTTAATAAAAGAAACTGAGTGGATTGTAATAATAGTGAGTATAGAAACAAACAAGATGTATTGTAAGAGTCACTTTATTTTTCATTAATATTAAAGAAGTGAAGTTGCCTTTACATGCTTAAGCTGTTAATTTATCCATTGCATGGGTGGACCTTATCCTTATCAATCATCCAGACATTTGCCCCCCCTGAGAGATTTTGCAGGAGCCGCCACTGGTTCATCCTACAAAGTCCCATCACAAGGGAGAAACACAAACAAATAGACAAAACATGTTTTTTGTCGTTGCCCGCATTGAAACGGCTGTACGCCGTATGGACCCAAAAACTACATTTCCCCTTGTACAAGAATACGCGGTAAACCGTGATGGGTTGACGGGCATCCACTGACGAAACAGACATCTTCGAAATGTGACGTCATCCCCCCGCGGTTGCCGATCTGCGGTGACGTAATTACCCCCTCCGCTGTTGCCGATGCGCGGTGACGTCATCACGCGCCCCCCCCTCACCACCACCACCCCGCTGTTAGCGATCTGCGGTGACGTCATCACGCCCACCCATACCAACCCCTGCTGTTACCGATCCGCGGTGACGTCATCACGCCCCCCCCGCTGTTGCCCATCCGCGGTGACGTCATCACGGGCCTCTCCTTGCCACCCCCCCCGCTGTTGCGATCCGCGGTGACGCCATCACGCCCCCCCTCTGTTCCCTATCTGCGGTGACGTCATCACGCCCCCCTCACCCCCCGCTGTTGCCGATTCGCGGTGACGTCATCACGCCCCCCCTCACCACCCCCCGCTGTTCCCTATCCGCGGTGACGTCATCACGCCCCCCCCGCCCCGCCGGGTGACGTAGACCCGTCGCAAGATGGCGGCGCCCAAGAGTACTCCGAAAGATGCGCAAGTATGAGATTGGGGGAAACTAATTTTTATTCGCATTTAAATGTTTAACTCTTTAAGAAAACAAAAAAAAACCGCACCGTACGCTTGCCGTATATTCTAAACAAAAAATGGACCCCCGCCCGTTCAATCGGAATACCCGAGGCGAGAACGAGACGCGATTCAAAGGCTCCGCGTCTGCGCGTAAAACTCGGGCCCGAGCGTCGGCGTGGGTGCAGACAATAATTCTGAGGCGTTGTTACAAAGGACAAAACAAAGTATATGTATATAAATATACACTTTAAAGTCGCGGGCAAGCGCGTAGAGTGCTCCGATGGTTAACATCGGGGTGACCTGGCCTCCGCAGACACGAAGCCGGCAATGACGGTACAGCAAGTCTTGCGTTTTTAATCGACGAGGATTACAAATCGTTTGCAATGATAATGAAACGCCGATGCTGGTGGAGGGTGGGTGGTTGGGTGGTGTCTACAATAGCACAGTGTACCTAGCAAAAATGTCGTGTGTGCTACCCCCCTGGGCACGGCAACAAACACGAGCGGCGAATGATATCGGCCACTGCACCTCCCTCCCCTGAACAACCGACCCAGCGCGGTGAAGTATGATGAGGTGCTAACTCCAGACAACGTTCAAGATCAACTTAAAGGAACCCGTGGGGGCCGTCTGGGGGGGGCGTTTCGGGGGGCCGTCTTGGTGGGGGGGGGGGTGAAGCAGAGAAAGCTGCCGAAGACCGTCGGCATGGCACGGGCTTGTTTTTGTGGCCTGGTGCTCCACAGGGAGCGAGCGAGGTGGATGAATGAGGGCAGACACGGTTCGAGGATTGATGATGTGACGCACAGAGGCACGACGTCTTCTCGACGTTTTTGTTTATAAATGTCATGTGGCCTCGTCTGGCAGGTCATGGCGGCGATACTGAAGGACATGGGCGTCACGGAGTACGAGCCCAGGGTCATCAACCAAATGCTGGAGTTCACCTACCGTGAGTGGCGACTACCTTTGCCGTGCAACTCAGCATCCGAATACGGAGGGTGGGAAATCCGATAAGATATAAAGCTCTCTTTCACAAATGTCCAGCCCGGGGTCAGAACGTGACAACAACAATAGAAAAACACGATAGGAGTGCAGAGTCATAGGGAAAAGGTAAACACGTTGCTTACGAAAATATACGAATAAAACTAAACAATGGTGTATGTTTCTTACCAGGTAAAAGTCCGCTGAGCTCGGCAATGTTGGGCTCCCACTTATGACTCGTTTTGTCCTCTAGTCAAACGATCGGCGATGATGTTAGGGGAGGGCAAGTGAACTTCACTTTATACTTTCAATGCTGATCACGTGCGGCTGCTGGCAAAACGTTGATTGGATAAAGTGATTTGGTTAACGGGCATCCCATAAGGTCAATGTGAACACACGTGCATGCTACTTTCTAGGCATCTGGTGGATCGAAGGGGGCTACTGCCCCCCTTCCTGCCACACACTTTAGACCCTTAAATCGATATATTGATATTTACCCGAGCAGTTAACATTATTTGTGTATTATTAACGTAGAGTCCTATAGAAAAAGTTTGAAACATTGGGACCACTCTCCTCGGGAAGATTCAAGTTCTGCCTCTGCTCAGCATGCAATGCTTTCATAGTCCCACCGATTTCGTGAATTTCCACCATTCAGGACTGATTCAAGAGTAATAATTTTTGAAGTTTTTTCTCTCCAGTCTACTTTAATTTAGCAATCGTAATTATGCTGCTGCCCATATGTAACATACCTAGATATAATATTTCAATTAACTGAATTTGGACAGTATTTAAATGAATCCTAATGGAGACTGATTCAAATAATGCATTTTGGAAGTGGTCACATTTGGCTGAGGTATGACCCTGCACTAGCACCACTTAGATCCTGGGGCCAAACCCAAGCAATATATACAGTGTGCTTCAAAAAAATGTTACCACACACATGGGACTATTGTTTATAATGGAAAAAGAACGGATAATACACTGTAACATGACAACAAATGTGATGTTAATAGCTTCAAAAAGTCAAAGAGTGTCCACTTGTCCGCCATGATTGTCAACACATACAAGGAATCTTCTCTAGGTGGTCTCCAGAGCCTGGAGGCACATTTCTTGTGGTATTGTTGCAAATTCTCAGAAGTGTTCACATTTTTATGAAGCACCCTTTATATTTCTGTGAAAACTATAATTATGTAAACTGGGTAAAGCAGCCCGAGCTGCCTGTTTGACGAGTGCCTTGTCCACCTCTCACCAGGGTATGTGACGGGGATTCTGGATGAAGCGAGGGTCTATTCCGCACATGCCAAGAAAACGAGCATCGACATGGATGACATCAAATTGGCAATCCAGTGTCGCATGGACCACTCCTTTACTTCGCCGCCACCCAGAGATGTGAGCTTACAGGACACGCTGCCCATTTCGGCGATCACCGCAGGCTACAAACTCTCCACTGCAAGATTAACAAATCAGAATATTTATACAGGAGGAATCTGATGAGCTATAAAGCTTTTTTCACAGATGTCCAGGAGGGGCAGGTCAGAACGCTACAACAACAAACAATACAAAAACACGATAGGAGTGCAAAGTATAAGAAAGGTAAACTAATCACTTGAAAAAATATACAAATAAAACTAAACTGTTTTATCTTGCCAGGTAAAACCCACTGAGCTATTAGCTTCCTTTTCAGAAGCTACCTGGCCACAAATGAAAGCCCAACAGAGCAATCTCTAGTCTAGCCACACCACCTGTTTCATCATAATTGGCCAAGGATCTGTCTACTTCTGGATGAAAAATCTGCAGTGCAATATTTAATAAGAGAAAAAAAGACTTTTAAGATATGATCAAGCATGGAATTGTATCACTCTTGTGTCATCAGCGTGATATCAGTCTCATACATTTGAATACGAAGTCAGTGTAGTTGTTAAAGTCCTGTCATTGAGTGCCTGACCATGATTTAAAATAAATGGTTTTCTCACTAACAAAGCTTAAAACTCAGTCTGGCAGCCCAGTACATAAATAAAACTGACACAAAACAATCAAATAATTATCTAAAACGGTCAAGAGTATGCTTGCATTGAACCAATGCTACAACCTTGTTGGTTTTTATGTGGAGGGATATATAATGTGTAGACCAGAGATCACTTGTAATGTGTAGACCAGGGATCACTTGTAGGAATCTCAGAAGTACTTCTATGATGTCTGCTTCCACGAGCCTAATCACGAAAGATTGCACTGCTCAGACAGCGATCCAGGTGGATTCTTTGTTCCGTGACGTGATGCCGATATCACAATTGTGATAATATTTAGGAAACGTAAAAAAAAAATTGAACGAGAACCAACAGAGAATGACTGTGGTGTTTTGGGGCGTTCCCATCGTCTGTGCCAGTTTTTGCTGGAGATTGCGCGGCAGAAAAATCAGACGCCCCTGCCGCTCATCAAACCGTACGCGGGCCCACGCCTGCCTCCTGACCGCTACTGCCTGACTGCACCCAACTACCGGCTCAAGTCGCTCTCCAAGAAGGTAATGAATGGGTCACCCAAAGTTGTCTTAGAAAAGTGAGTGCTCCATTGGAACCTCCTTTGCCAGTAGCAAAATATGATAATTGTTTTTTTTACCCTTTTTTCTGGCAACAAAACTGACACCGTTTTTTTTTTTTTACAAGGAGTCATGTTTGCATTGACCACAATACCTGCGGTCGGAATGCAAACAAAAAACACAACTCCGAAAATGTATGCACTGTCCTTGTGCCTTTTGGCATCATCTGGTCCAACACCATGTGAGACTAGGCTCTAAGAAAAGCTGTCTCGGGTGTGGACCAATCAATTTCAAGGACAGTGCACACATTATCAGAGGTGTGTTTTTTGTTTGCATTCGGACCACAGGTATTGTGGTCAATGCAAACATGACTCCTTGTAAAAAAGGTGTCAGTTTTGTTGCCAGTTAAAAGGGTAAAAAAACAATTATCAAAGTGATTGCTATTCCGATGAGGCCGTCTGATAGTTATATGTGGAGCAGCAGTGGCAAAATGTTATCTCCCTTGCCCTGATATGCAGAGGAGGTTGTATGTTCTACCCTTACCCTGATGCCTCGATATTTGGAGTTCGTGTGGTAATGCGGATCTTTTGACGGATCCTTCGATTTTGCACTCCACATTAAGAAACATTCGTTAATATTGGGCTGCTGCTATAAATACCCACATGTGACATAGGCCACTAAGATGAGTTATCATGTGTGGCCATACCATTTCTCTAAAAGAGCTAATATCTCAATGGGCTTTACCTGCTAAATAAATACAAAAAACAAACTGGTCAACATTATAATCGCACCAAGTTGCATTTGTGATTTAAATGTACACACCTTAAGTTAATTAATTGCAAATGGCAATACAACGAATTGTGCACTAAATACTTAGCAGCATGAACAAGGCGTCATGTGACAATTGCTGCCTGTAGCCAGAGCCAAGCAGGTCTTGATTTTGGCTGGTGGACCGGCTGACATAAAGTTCCCGTTGACCTTGTGTTGTTTGGTTTGCCCCAACGTCACTGCAGTCTCAGCCGCCCGCCGGAAGAATCACCATCCCTCGGCTGAGTGTGGGCACGAGCGTGACCAGCCGCCCAGCCACTCCAACCATGGGTAAAACGTCGCAGGAGTCAAATACCCACACCTACAAAGATAAAAGATCCCCCCATATAGCCTGCACAGGTCGTTGGAGCAAGTGCTGTTCGCGAGCACTTATAAAGGCAGTGTCAAGGCACATGTACCCACACCTACTCGCATACTCCCACACCCACCTACAACAACAACCGCCATTCGTCACTAAGTGGCGGTGACGTCACCATGGTGCTCGTGCCAGGCTAGGTGCACTCCGAGGCCACGTGATGTGTCAAAGGCTGGGAGGCAGGTCCACTGGACAGACCCAGGTGGGATGACTGGCCGATGTACCACCCGCGTGCCTACTGTGCCAGCTTGCTGTGTTTTAACCATCCGGGGCTCCGCTCGTTGTTGTGAGCGTCTCTCCTCTGTCCTCCGTTGTTGTTGGAGGGCAACTGCCTCCAACTGCCCAGTAGTGTCCTTTACGAGCCTCCTCCACAGAGGCCGATCTTGACACCGCTGGTACTAATTTTAGGTGAGTCCACTCAGCTCCATGTCCTCTCGTACCACATCACTCGATCTCTTCTTGAAGCCGTGCCGTGCCCGTTTAGCCCCCTCTATACGGCTGAACAAAAGCTGTTTGGGCATGCGGTGGCTGGGCATGCGGGCTACATGACCCAGCCAATGCAGCCTTGCCTGCCGGAGGAGCTCACCGATGAGAATGTGTCCCGATCTACACCTAGCCACATACATTTATACACCTACCCAGGTACAACAACATGCCCCACTCTACAATATAAAATCCTGCCGAGCCATTCATGTATGTATAAATATGTTGAACTCTTTCGCACCGTACGTAGCCATGTGTGGGGGAAGGACAACAAACTAAACACAAAAAGCAGTTTTTAAGAAATTACTTTTCAATATAGATTTAAAAGTGCATAGCTCCAGTGGCTTCCTAATATCGGAAGAGTGTTCCAGACGGCCGCAGAAACCCATCTGAAAGCGCGCAATGCGGTGACCCGTTTTTGTTCGATGGCTAGCCGAAAGTCGCTGCCAGAATGACCGTAGTTTGCTTGATGGTTTATGGTCCTTGACATCAGCGAGGTATTTTGGTGCATTTGTGGCAAGCACTTTGTGTGTAATGAGTGCGATCTTATAATCTATTCGTTCGGCAACCGAAAGCCGATGCAGTTCGGGGAGCTTTGAGGACACACCATTCATGTGAGTAGCGTATCCTCGAAGTCCCGGGTTAATTCCGGGGTGGGATGCCCTGGTATATCTGCTTTCTCAACAAAACCCGATTATTTTCATGAAACACCGATTATATCCCACGTATAGCTTGTGATGTTATTTGTATCGCGAACATATGTTGGGTTCCATTGGAACCTCATTTGCCAGTAAAAATATGATAAGTGGTTTTTTACCCTTCTATCTGGCAACCAAACTGACACCTTTTTTACAAGGAGTCATGTTTGCATTGACCACAATACCTGCAGTCATAATGCAAACAAAAACATAACTCTGATAATGTGCACTGTCCTTGAAGTTGATTGGTGCACACCCGAGACAGCTTTCCTTAGAGCCTAGTCTCACATGGGTTGCCTTTTGGCGTCATCTGGTCCAACACCATGTGAGACTAGGCTCTAAGGAAAGCTGTCTCGGGTGTGGACCAATCAACTTCAAGGACAGTGCATACATTATCAGAGTTATGTTTTTGTTTGCATTATGACTGCAGGTATTGTGGACTATGTAAACATGACTCCTTGTAAAAAAAGTGTCAGTTTTGTTGCCAGATAGAAGGGTAAAAAACCACTTATCATATGCTGGGTTGTTTGTTGTTGTTGTTCTGACAGGAGCCAGCAGCTCCCAGGGTGTGGCCGGGACGACCAAGGTGGGCACATCGGTCTCCATCGGCCAGCGGATTACGCTGCAGCTGCCTTCGACGCCCAGCACGCTCAAGCCATGTGAGCTCAGCTCCCGCCCGCTCGCCGCTCATCAACGCACTCCAGAAGTTCATCCAAAAACACCAAGGGAAACGGCCTTTTGGGCCTCCCTCCACGGATTATTTCCCTAGAGTCCGTCTTATTCGGAAAATACGTTCATTATTTTCGTGGCTTCGCTGGCTGTGAATGCAGCAATATTTTGCTGTCTTTTCTTGGATTTTCTGTTTACGCTTAGTCACATATTCACTTTAAGATGTTTGTTTTTTGTTTGTTGCGGTTGCACCCGATTCAAGAGCCGAATGGCTCACGGGGCTATACCTAATAAATGAACTTGAACTTGAGATGTTCACCTTCCTCATTCCATAATCCCAATGACAAACTTGCTCACCATCGTCTCATCTCTGCACCTTTCTTTTGCACGAGTTGTTGTAAAAGTGATCCTCATTCGGTTGTTGGGTAATTCTTTGAGATCCCCCTAAATGTTTGAAATTGCATTCCAACAGTACCAATGTAGGAAAACAAAAAAAATCATAACTTACAATCCATATCGACACGTTTTGAGATTTCACAAATGTTATTCTCTCTCTCCCGGTGTGTCCAGCCACTCCGATCAGCACGGCGGTGCAGAGCGTGCTCATCAACGCGCCGTCGCTCGTGGCGGCCGGCAAGAACATCCTGATCACTACCAGCAGCGCCGGCGCCTCATTCACGCACTCCCCTCTGCAGCCGTCGCAGCAGCAGCAGCAGCAGCAGGCGGGCAGCTCGGACACGAACCCTCTCAAGCGCAAGCACGAGGATGACGACGACGACTACGATAACGCGTGAAGCGCCGACGTCGATGCCGACACGCAAACGCTCAACTTGCCTACCGGCCCACACAGATCTTCCACCAGTCTCACACCCCCTCTCGCACAACCCCATTCACCCGCTTGCCCCACCCATCCACTTAACCTACCCGCCAACGCAATTGCACACCCACTCACTAGCCCAGGGGAGCCGAATGCAGCTCTTTAGAGGCTGCTCTGTGACATAATGTATGAATGTATTCACATGCATTGCGGCTCTTGAAATATTGAGTTTTGTATAATATTCGAAAAAAATGGCTCTCCGTGTTTTGGTTGCCGACCCCTTCACCTAGCCCGACCGCTTACCCCACGTGTTCGGCATGTAACGGTCTTGGCGGTTAAAATTGATTCTTATTCTCAGCAGGCGTGCATCCAATGGTGCGTGCCACGATCGATCACTGAACAATGTTTTGCAAATCACACGCAAACGATGCCGTTACGTTGAGTTTCACGGATCGTACGAGACGGCGTATGAGGCAGATAATGCAAACGAAACTAAATGCTGCGTTCTCTTGTATCGTGTTGTGGTCCTGAATTATTACGATTTACAGGCAGGGGCAAATGATTCCATGCCCAACTTCTGTTCCATCTGCCCGCTCGCCCATCTGTACCCTTGCCCGCTTCTCCAGCTGCACTCTCATTCACCCACCCACCTATCACAGTTGCCCACACACCTTGTCCAATTTGCCAACTGGATGATGCCAATACAAAATTGTATTGGCAATACAATTTGTATTGGCATCACCTTTCAATGAAAAATGTATCCAATATGGATAATAATGCTCTTTATTCAGGAAGCCTTCTTTAATTAATGGTGATATTGCTTGGTATGTTTGACTTTTATTTTGTCATTTTGGAGAATTCCAGATGTCTGGAGAAAAAACCTACCTACTTACTGTACTGCCAAACTACTGGCCTCCGAGTACCCATGTTTTGGTTTGTGGTCTTGCACTTTCTTTCAGGTGCGCCTACACTCCTGTATCGAGTTTTCACGAGACGCTGAACTCAAGTTTGAATTCGAGTTGCCGCTGCAAGCAGCGCGTTGACAAATTTCTAGATGGCCGTGAATTCAAGATACAACCCAACATTTTCCCTGAGCCGATTTTCGATTCACTGACCGGCACGGGTTTCCCTACGTCGAACTTTCTGGCCGAGCGGAAAACACATCAGCAGTCCACAGTGCAAGCGAAATGGCAGTGAATGGCGATAGCGTTTGGTTTTACCGTTACAAGTTGCGTATCGCGACGTTCCATTTTTTGTTGGCAATGAAGTTGTGATATTCGATTCGGGTATTTCTTGGGGAAAGTCTCACGAGGACCCGTTTCTAGCAAGGATGTGCCAGACGTCGCAAACGGGTTTTGATTCCTTATCCGTACCCGGCCGCACCAGGGTCGCAAATGGGTACCCGTACCCAGCCGGGTACGGGTAGCCGGGTATCGGGTAGGGTACGGGTATCGGGTACCCGGTTGCGACCTCTGGGATGTGCCCAACTCGTGTGATAACAGGAGCAACTTGTGGAAATGCCAATGTGTCAGCCGACTCAAGTTGTCCTTCAGCTCGAGTTCGAAAGAAATTTCTCCAACTGCGACCAGTTTTGAGTCGACTCAAGTTGGCTTTCCCATGGAAACTCAAGTTTCTGTTGTGGGTTTCGCAACACTGCTGGGTGTTTATAATCTTACCCTGCAGTTTGCAAGACGTGCCCCCGAGATGTGGTGCACGGGAAGGGCGCAGTACATGACGAATGGTAGTGGTAGAATTATGACACCGTTTGGATCGTTTATTTGTTGTGAGAATGGAAAACATGTTCCAACGTTAATTTAAAATTGAATTCTCAAGGAAGATGGCCCGAATAGCAAATAACTCTTTTTGAAGATAGCTAGCCTGTGTGTGTGTCAGATTGTGTATGACGAAAGCTTGGAAGTAAAAAATATATATCTAAAAAAGGTGACTTTAAAAATTGTACGATAGATGTCACTGCAGCAATGTATAATTTTTTTTACAAACGGACCAATAAGAGCACTGGCTCTAGGGGAGGGTCAGCTGTTGCCATGTTGTCAGACTTTAAAGTTTCGTGTTGCTCATGTCTGAAACATTCTACAGCCCGAGATAACACTCAAGTATTTAAAGGACACAAGGGGGTTTTCGTTTATGGTTTTTTCACTTTTTTTTTTAAGAACGATAGTTTGTTCTGAAAAATATACCGTCATGATATGTTTGTGTAAATAAGATCTAAACATGTATGACACTTGTCATGGAATGCACACATTAAAAACATGATTCCGTTTTGACAGACTCGTCGAATGCCCAATTTCACCAACAGGCTCATGCAGGGCGAATTTTAAATCCTTTATATTAAGTTCACTTGCTTGCTTGCTTATGACCGTGCAAATCTTTCGGTCGTTTTTAAACACACTTCCCGTGATCCAATTGAGCTGACATTTTCCACACAGACTCGTTGTGCGTGACAATTAATTTTCGTGAAATTTTTTTTCCAAAATTTGACACTGTTTAGGGAATTTTTTTAAAATATTTAATTACCAATTGCTTAATGCTGGCAGACAATCATCTGACCCATAGGTGGCAGCCATCTCAAGCCAGAGGACGAGAGGACTCTAGCCGCCACGCATATAAAGGATTTAGAGTGAAAAACTTTGTTTTTACGGGTTAATTTTTTAAATCCTTTATATTAAGTTCACTTGCTTGCTTACGACCGTGCAAATCTTTTGGTCGTTTTTTAACCCACTTCCCGTGATCCAATCGAGCTGACATTTTCCACACAGACTCGTTGTGCGAGACAATTAATGTTCGTGAAAAAAAGTTCCAAAATGTTACACTTTTTAGGACAAGCCAGAGGACAAGAGGACTCTAGCCACCACGCATATAAAGGATTTAGTGATAACTTTTTTACTGTTTTTACGGGTTATACTTGTTTTCTTCTTCTCTCATTTGAACAAGCCCTGAAAAAGCCGTGGCACATTTACTCCTAAAAAAATACATTAGGTAAGTTTTAGAAATTATCGACTATAAACAATGCCATCCCCTAATCAAGCAGCTGCCTCTGTTTAATGGGCAGTGGGGGAATGCTCATCTGCAGAGGTGGCTCTGAAAAGTGATGAAAATTCCATTCTTATGGTGGAAGCCAGTTCATAGGGCAAACCATCCCACTCATAAGTAGTTGTGTACAGTCATTTGTATTGACATTTAATATTTATAAACTGGTGTTTTTACATATATTTTTTTATTGTATAGAACGTATATATGGCCTGTTACTGGTAGGAACCTCCTGGTTCCACCAGCCCACGGGATTATTATGTCCGTCCGTCGTGCAGGGAGGGGCTGGGTGGGGAGGGGAGGGAGGGGCTGGGTGGGGCTGGTCACCCCGTGGTGCCCTTATAAAACTCAACGTTTAACCTACTCATGCCGGCTTGTGCCCGCCCTCAGTCGGGCATATTTGCGGAATACACCACGCCGCCGTTGACCCTGGCCATTGACCGAGCAACCCAACGTTCCTACCAGCTCCCTCCGCAGGAATGTGTTACCAAATTACCTAGAGTGCACCTGATCCCATCAAATATTAGAAGCTAAGCAAGCGTAAGGCTGGATAGTACCTGGATGGGTGACTACCAAGCACAGCATCCATATTACAGGCTTGTTGGGTTGTAGCATGTTGCTATAGGCCAGTAGGCTCTTAACCTAGGGTGCAAGCAGCCCCTGGTGGTGCGAGGCATGGCCAGACTTTTAGAAGGTAAAATCGAAATACAAATTAAACACGGGCACGTAAGTATAACTACTTTGTTTCATCAAACCTGTGTACTAATTAACATGAAACATTTCTGTACGATTGAGAACCAAAGAGGTGCAAGGCTGCAGTAAAAGTTAAGAACCATTGCCAAAAGCTGTGGCACTCCATCCACGGTGGTCAGAAAATAGCAGTGCAGAAAAATCAATTTATCGTCCTATACGCTATGCGCCCCGGTCTATGCTGTCTCCCTTCATAGCTTCCGTACTGATCGGCATGGCGAAGTATGTCCAAATAACCCGAGGCCCTGATTCAGCATTGGGTTGCCATGAACGGCGCTCCGTGAATGAGAATGCAGAATATCTACAAGAGATAATTAGCCCCCCCCCCTCTCCCACCAAAAAAATGATACATGCCATTCGATTACACTTAACGTACACTTGCACACTCTATAATGTATTCTCACGATTTCAATATACATAAATCGCGTAACATACTCGCGAGTGTATTTAACACACGTGCGCTTCGCGAATGCATTCCTAGTGCATTTAAAATACATTGTATACTGCGTGTCGTTATCACAGTGCATTTTATATGGGCGGTGTTCATCTCGCTGGTATCCTGGCATTTTGGCCTCAGCTTGGTGGGAAGTCCGTTTTCTTCTTATGCATGCGGTCCCACTCATAACCACCGCCATTCTCAGCGTGGCCCAGGCTCGCGGTCACGTTCCAGCCGGTGCCTCTGGGTCCCGGAACGGGTGGTACCCCTGCCGCTTGGCAACGGACAGGGCCCAGAAAAGTTGACTTGGCGGAGGCAGCTCCTCCCACGGCGTCCACACCCAAGCTGTATGACCCAAGAGGCGGCACCACCAGCATCGTCATCATCTACGCCATCACGGTCATCGTAGCCAGCTCCGTCTACGATCCGCAGTCCACGGTGATCTGCTGTAGCTCCGATTAGCGTGCTCGCTTACGTACGGTGGGAAAAAAGTTCAACATACAATACCTGGAACCAGTTACCGGCTGATGTGCGGGAAATATCCTAGAGTCCTTGAGTATGAATTCTGCAACGTATGTATGTACGGCAGAGGTCGCAAACGGGTTTTGATTCCTTACCCGTACCCGGCCACACCAGGGTCGCAAACGGGTACCCGTACCCGTACCCGGCCGGGTATCAGGTAGGGTACCCGTACCCGATACCCGGCCGGGTACGGGTAGCCGGGTATCGGGTAGGGTACGGGTATCGGGTACCCGATTGCGACCTCTGGAATGTAGTCATGTTGCAGGCGCGGGTGGGTTGATTCTAGGAACTTGAATTGTGAAAAGAGACAAGACTTTGGGAAATGAGTGACAAACGGTTAGTCACCAGTGACTCACGGCCTACCCGTACCCGTACCCGGCCGCACCAGGGTCGTAAACGGGTACCCGGCTACCCGTACCCAGCCGGGTACGGGTAGCCGGGTATCGGGTAGGGTACGGGTATCGGGTACCCGATTGCGACCTCTGATGTACGGTGACCGGGCTGAGACCATAAACTACCATTGAGAACTCAGCTTATGCACGGGTGGCGGAAACCCAGAATTAAACCTAGAATCGAACCCAGAATCTCAGCGCTGCCGGCACGGGGCGCTAATCCGCCGAGCCACACCGGCCACTGCCCCCGCGCCTCACCCTCGTTCTTGTGTGGCTCCACGTTCTGTGGCTCCTGCCGGAACGCGAGATCCACGGCGGCCCGCATGAAGATGGTGACGAAGTGGCTGCCCTCGTGCCGGCGCACGGAGTTGACGACGGTGGAGAAGCGCACGTCGCACACGTGCAGTCCCGTCTCCTCCAGCGCCTCCCGCCTCGCGCACTCCTCCCACTCCTCGCTGGCCGAGGGGACACGGGGTGGGGAAGAAGAAAAGAATGCAGGGCGCCGCAGTGGCTAGGAGATGTTAACTACCTCGCATGGTGTCCAGGAGGTCGTGGGATCGATCCGGACCCTGACACCTGCTGTATATTTTAAGTGTGCGTGTCTCTTATCATCATCGCGGTGGCTAGGAGATGTTAAATACCTCACATGGTGTACAGGAGGTTGTGGGATCGATCCGGACCCTGACACCTGCTGTATATTTTAAGTGTGCATGTCTCTTATCATCATCGCGGTGGCTAGGAGATGTTAACTACCTCGCCTGGTGTACAGGAGGTTGTGGGATCGATCCGGACCCTGACACCTGCTGTATATTTAAATGTGCGTGTCTCTTATCATCATCGCGGTGGCTAGGAGATGTTAAATACCTCACCTGGTGTACAGGAGGTTGTGGGATCGATCCCGACACTGACACCTGCGTATTTTGAGTTTGCGTGTTCTTCCCGCGGTCGCGTGGATTTTTCTCCGGGCTCTCTGGTTTTTCCCTCCACGTTTAGAAACACGTGTTTAGAGTATTTGAAGGCTATACATTTCCACATGATATCATTTGTGGCCAGGCTGCTTTTGAAAAAGAGCTATATAGCTCAGTGGGCCTTACCTGGTAAAATACAAATAGTTTATAGTTTAATAGTTTACTTACAATCAGTTTCATTATGATTCAGTATTTTTTACTTTTCGTGGAAATGAACATGAGAAGTCTCCGGAGACGGACGGACGGACAACTCCCCGGTACAACTATAATAAGCATCCCACATGCTTCCGTAAAACACTGATAACACGGACACCCACAAGCCATTCAAACTCTATTGTTGCATATGATAGCAATATGTTCGGGAGCTAAATGCCAAAGTCGATGTCTCCAAGCCACAATGGGAGGGCTTCAGGATAGAGAGTTCATGTCGTTTTGCTGTTCCTCCTACGATGAAGGAACGCAGACTACACTGCTTTACAATACGGGGTTAGGAGATTGGGCTGTATGGCCACTATGTACGTGTAATAAGAGCCTATGTCAGATTCACGTGGTGATCGGCTTTGCCGGTCCCGCTTTACAGCCAATGGGGGGAGAGCCTGGGAGCATGGCCTCGGCGTGATCACGGGATGTCAGCTCGCTGATTGGTTTCGGTGGTCTTGGCCTCAGCCAATGGGAAGACAAGTCGGGGGCGTGGTACCGGGAGTTGATGGCTATTGAGGATTGGCTGGAGTGTACCACGTGACCCAGGCGTTAAATAAGGGGAGAGAGGAGAGACACGTGGTCAGACACGGAATTAAGAGAGGGAGAGGCCACGCGCGAGTGGGGTTCCGGGTGCCACGTGGTGGTGGGTCTCTGGTGGCTGTCTGCCCGCTTCCCATTGCCTGCCAGCAACGGGGAGTGTTTGTGAACTGCAAAGGAAGTGAAATAAAAGGACCGATTCTACAAGCCGTCTCCAGCGTGTTATTACATACGTATGCTGAACTTATTTTGCGCCGTGCGTAGCCAACCGTGCTCATCCGAGGTGTGGGGGAAGGACAACTAAACACAAACAGCAGTTCTAAACAAGACGAGTTCACGTATCTTCTTGGTTCTTTCGGTAAAGTCACGTAGAATGGAAATAATAAAAATAAAACATTAAATAATTCTCACGACGTTTCGGGCACAACGCA